TCAGTCTTCAGAAACCCAGCGTTTTCTGCTGCGAAAAGGTCCCAGACGCCTTGCACGTGGAATGGGCTCCGAAAGATTTCCCGTGCTGATGCTGCTCATGCTGCTGATACTCGCTCTCGCTGCCCCATTTCCTAACGGTCTCCGTTCCAATCAATACTCATGATCTGAGGCATGGTGCCTGTTCTTGCTGGTGCATGGCCTGAAAGTTTCTCACACTGATGCTCGGTCTCCGTGCCTTAGCCTCCTGATGCTGATGATGCTCTCGCTGCCATCATTTTCGTCATAGCCCCTCTTCTGATCGCTTCAAAGTGAGCTTTCCCATGCTGATGATGCTCGCTCTCGCTGCTCCGCATCGTAACTGTCTTCCCCCTGAGGCATGATACCTGTTCTTGCTGGTGCGTGGCCTGAAAGTGTTCTCATACTGATGATGCTCGGTCTCTGTGCCGATTGCTTCAAAGCTAGCCTCCTGATGCTGATTACGCTGGGTCTCGCTGCTCCACACGGCATGATGCCTGTTCTTGCTGTTACATGGCCGGAAAGTGTTCTCATGCTGATGATCCTCGCTCTCGCCCACTGCTCAAAGGTTCCCTTGGGAATGAAGCCCCCGCTTCTGCTACTGTTTTTCGGTCTCGCTGCTTCATGTCTTTCATGTTTACCCTTCTGATCTGATTCGGATGATGGTCGTTCTCGCTGGCTTATGGCCCCCATTGCTTTCAAGCCTCCCTTCTGATTCTAATGAGGCCAATTTCAGTGCACCCTTGCTTAAGCGTTTCCCTTCATACTCAGTTTAGCGGTCACATCGCTTACAAGTCGCCCTTCTGATTCTCATGATCTCCCAGCTCCGTTGCCAAGATTCTTTATTCTGGTTTGCATGATGCCTCTAAACGACACTCCAGCCCCTGAAGGTGAAGGAGTGCACGGTGCCGGAGCTTGAGGGCTCCACCCGCCGATGTGCGGCACTGTTCAGTGGCTGGGACGAGGGATGGAAAGTCTTTTTGGAACTGGACGATTCTGACTGTCGGTCCAGAAAGCTTTGAGCTTCTGATGCTGGCTGCAGGTTAGGAGGGTGTTTGCAGCGTATGTGTCGAGCAAGGTCACAGTTTGGCGTGAGATTTTTAGGACTGGGTATCGAGTCCGTGCGACTTGCCCAAGCCTTACCGAGGACGCTTTCCCTTGCGAGCTGTTTGTGATCGCACGGGCCAGAGTTGCGTCCGAAAATTCGGTGGCGATGGTTCAGAGCCAGCATCGAAGCCTTTTGCAAGTGCTCTTATAGCCTTATAGCACTCCTTCCGGGTAGAGTTACAATGTCGGCAGCTTTCTACGTCTTTCTGAAGGTGATGCAAGACTAATCTGCTGCGAAAGTTTGCACATCAAGTCAGAGTCAAGTCTTCGATGCCTGTGCTGTGGCTGCTTTGCATCGGTGCACGGTGCCCCCTTGGGTTGCATTTGGCGACCGGGCGGGCTTCTTTTGCTTACATAGATTTGAACGGGGCAGAGCTCTGGCGTCAGGAGCGCGAGCTATTGTATGAAGTGCTACCGCTTTTGCTCGACCCTTAAACGTGCTTAGGCGACCTATCGAAAGTGCTGAGCCGAGTGTGTCAAGCATGCGTAAGCGCAGTGGAGGCTTTCGTAGTCATGTCCGGCTTGGTGGATCGTGATGCCGACGACGTCGGGACTCTGCTTGCAACCCAAACATCGTTTGTATACCTGCAGTGCCTTTGAAAGTGGCCTCGTGCCCATGTTGGAGATGTCTCAATTTTCGTCAAAGTCGAGGGTCCTGTAAGATTTCTGGGTGGACATCAGGGACACGGAAATTGAGAAAGATCCACACTGCCCAAAGCTATGCTTGCGGGCGCCCGCACTTTAAATGCCGAGCGCTCTCTTTAGGGTGGACGTGTGCAGGCTGGGCTTCTCAGCTTACAGCATCAAACCCAGAAGGCAACTTTGCGCGAAGACATGGCCGCAAACTGCTCTGAAGCTCAGGGTGTTCGCTTTAGAACAAATCATACCAGAGATAAAGGACATTTAGCCAGATCGAAGAAGAATCGATGCTCCGGGATGCGTGACTCTGGTAGAGGGAGCGGGGAAACTAAGAAACCACTTAGGCTTTAAGATATCTTGCAGTATGCCTGTCGAAGACCTCAACATGTTTAAAGTTGAAAATCTCATACATCCTCTTACAACCCTCACGGAGTAAGTCGCGAGCAAGTCTTTCTTTTCCTCTGAGTTGCAGAATCCGTTTTCATTTTGCAACTTTCATGTTTGCCCCGCATCTCTTCGTTGGGGTTTAGAACCTGTTCAGGGTGTGCCCGCATCACGTTCAGGGCTTGCGCATCATAACTCCTTGTGTGGGATGGGGCTTTACGCGCCAGCACGCTTCACAGCCATCATGACAAATGGGTGTCGTCCCATCACAAAGGTTGCCGGCTGCTTACGGCTAAGCCAGCATCACCCTTCCAGAGTGCAGGCGATGCTATCAGACTGCGCATTGAAGCCATATCCCACTATCCACACCAAGCAAAGGCTGTCTAGAAGATTTCGACATTTATACTAACCTCTTAATTTGGGAAGCCCTGGGAATGCTTAACACAACTTTAAGGAGGTTAGCCCCCCACGGCCATTGATGGGGTTTGATGAGAATCGAACATGCGGTAATATGCGACGAAAATCCAGTCTTAAGCATTCTCAGGGTTAAGGGTTCAACTGTCAGGTGAAGTTGCTGTGAATCTGCTCCAAGCCTTCCCGAGCTGTTGCGAGCGGTTCCGAGACGTTCTGACCCGAGCCGTTCCGAACCGCTTACCACCATTCCGAATGTTCCGAGCCCGAGCCGTCCCGAACCGTCCGGAACCATCCCGAACCGTCTCCAACCGTCCCGAACCGTCCCGAACGTTCCCGAACCGTCCCGAACCGTTATGAACCGTCCTGAAATGTCCGGAACCATCCCCAACCGTCTCGAACCGTCCCGAACCGTCCCGAACGTTCCCGAACCCCCCCAAACCGTCCCGAACCGTCCCGACCATCGAGACCCGTTCCGAACCGTCCCGAACCGTTCCGAACCGTCTCGAACCGTTCCAAACCGTTCCGAACCGTCCCAAACCGTCCCGAACCGTCCCAAAAACAGTTCCGAACCGTTCCGAACCTTTCCGAACCGTTCCGAACCGTCCCAAACCGTCCGGAACCCCCCCGAACCGTCCCGAACCGTGGCGAACCGTTCCGAACCGTTCCGAACCGTTCGGAACCTTCCGGAACCGTCCCGCCGTCTCGAACCGTCCCGAACCCCGAACCGTTCCGAACCGTCCCGAACCGTCCCGAACCGTCCCAAACAGTTCCGAACCGTTGTCTACAACGGTTCGGGACGGTTCGGGCCGGTTCGGGAGGCTCGGAACGGTTCGGAGACGGTTCGGAACGGTTCGGATTCGGGACGGTTCGGGACTGTTCGCGGGACGGTTCGGGACGGTTCGGGACGGTTCGGGAGGCTCGGAACGGTTCGGAACGGTTCGGAAAGGTTCGGGACGGTTCGGGACTGTTTCCGGGACGGTTCGGGACGGTTCGGGACGGTTCGGGACGGTTCGGGACGGTTCGGGACGGTTCGGGACGGTTCGGGACTGTTCGTGGGACGGTTCGGGACTGTTCGTGGGACGGTTCGGGACGGTTCGGGACTGTTCGGGATTGTTCGGGACGGTTCGGGACTGTTCGTGGGACGGTTCGGGACGGTTCGGGACGGTTCGGAACGGTTCGGGACTGTTCGGGATTGTTCGGGACGGTTCGGGACGGTTCGGGACGGTTCGGGACGGTTCGGGACGGTTCGGGACGGTTCGGGACGGTTCGGAACGGTTCGGAACGGTTCGGAACGATTCGGGACGGTTCGGGATTGTTCGGGACGGTTCGGGACGGTTCGGGACGGTTCGGAACGGTTCGGAACGGTTCGGAACGGTTCGGAACGATTCGGGACGGTTCGGGACGGTTCGGAACGGTTCGGGACGGTTCGGAACGGTTCGGAACGGTTCGGGACTTCGGGACGGTTCGGGACGGTTTGGAACGGTTCGGAACGGTTCGGAACGGTTCGGGACTTCGGGACGGTTCGGGACGGTTTGGAACGGTTCGGAACGGTTCGAGACGGTTCGGAACGGTTCGGGACGGTTCGGAACGGTTCGGGACGTCGGAACGGTTCGGGACGGTTTGGGACGGCTCGGGACGGTTCGGAACGGTTCGGAACAGCTCTCACATCTCACAGCTCGCAGCCCACCCAACCCCAAGCCAGCCCACAGCCCGAAGCCTATACAGCAGGCAGCCACACCCCACACCCCAGCCCAGCCCAGCCCGCTTGCTTAAATTCTTCTGTCGAAGCACCGTCGAAAAGCACCCAACGCACACCAGACCCCGCCCTCATCCCACAAAAAGCGCCTGCATTTAGCCGTGCTCCGAAAGTTGGCTTGCACCGGAAAGTGTGGCAGTCTTAAGCATTCCCAGGGCTTGCCAACTCTTAATGCACTCACGAATTGACTTCGGCCCTTCGAACGCGAGTTCGATTCACACCACGATATCTATGTCGAACCAAGTGTTCTTGACAATTCTATAGTCATCCTTCAGTCTTAAGCACGAACCCAAACTCTGCTGCGAGACCCGTTCGGAATACAAGGGTTAACTGACTATGCAGAAAACGAGTAGGCTATGATTCAAAGCTGCGTCCGGACCGGATATCATGGAAATGTTGCCGAAGCCTCGCGTTCATCATAGAAGCAGTACGTACATCGCTGGAGCTTTGCATGCTGCTGATGCCTGCGATGTGTAGAAACATGAAAAGCCAGTGCACTAGCTTCAAAGGCCGCACGGCAGCAGCGAAGATGCCACGACAACTTGTTGGGGTTGCCACTTCAGCACCGTCTTTTGTACTCCCATCATGCCGCTCTCAATGCTCTTTGTATGCTTGGAGCGCTCGGTAGCTGCAAGACCCCACGCTCTATGACCCGAACTTGTGGTCCTTTCTTCGATGCCCGGCCATGAGCCTGATGCATCGTGGCTTTCTTGGAGCCGCTTTCTGGCAGACAGTCCAGGCCCAGGCGTTGGGCCAACTTCATGACGTGTGTGTGCCGTAAGCTTGGACTGTGGACCCGTCTTCGTGACTCGCGCATCCCATTCAGTGTGGTGATCTGTTCTGAATCAGCAGCCCTGGTCTGTGATTGGGCACAGCCTGATGGTGCAGGTTTCAGCACAGGCGCCCGGCAGCTGCCGCGGCAAGCGCCTAGGCATCTGAAAGTGTTTCGCCTGGGTCTTTGTGCAGGTTAGGATAGGTTAGGGCTTCAAACCGGGCTCCAGTGCTTTAGGAAGGCTGCCATTTTTCAGCCTGTATCGGTTTGTCAATGCGTTGAAGCTTAGCGGCTTGCACATGTGCCAACATTCGTGTGGATTAAATTCATGCGCTTTGATGGCTGCCTTCGTGTGAGCACTGTGTGAACACAGGTTTTGTGCCTCTAAAGTTGGGGTAGTAGCACTTGTCAGCATGGTCTAGGCGTAAATGTCTTGACAAAGCATCATGGGCTCGCACATGCGACTGTGAGAAAGATGCCCGTCGTGTCCAGAATTTCTGCAGTCCATGTGACGTGGGAGGTTGAGTTTCGACGCCCAATTCAGCACCGCCGCGTATTTTGCAAACAAGCGGCTAAGTCTTTGAAGCCCAATACTTTGCCAAGCCCAACCGGAAACCTTGGCTTCAACATCATACACCGAGACGTCGTGGCACCAAGTGCGACAAGCTCGCCAGGTGAGGCCTGCGAGGTTGATGCAGGGCGCCTTGCCGTTTTGGCCTCGGAACCTGTGCATGTTCTCTGTTTGTGTGTGCCTTGGGCCTGCATGTGGACGATGATGTCGGCCTTCAAAGCGATGCAGCACATGTTTCCGAGCACATAAGCCATAAGCATGGATTCGCACAGTTGTCGCGTGGCCTGCGCGGGCACGTTTCAGAGGTCGCTGCGCAGCGTCAAGGTGTTTGTGCTTCGCTGCAGGCGCCTCCCTTTCTCTCCCTTCGCCCAACCAATACTACAATGGTGAGCAAAATCGTGGGATAACCAGAGTTCGGTTCGTCGGTGGGAAATACATCGATTACTGTGCTGAGGCTCAGATTCTGTTCAGTTTCCGATTTGAGTTGGAGGCCATCTTCGTTTGGAGCGCAACAAGATCGTGTCTTATTTTGCCAGGCACCGCAAGGCGGCGCAGAGCTTGTGTGCCTCGCGTGTGGAAGTCCCCGAGCCTGCACATGGATGTCGGGACTTCGGATCTGTAGATGAATCTTTGGGGTGCATGCTGAGGATGCAAAGGTTAGACTGACGTGCTGCCGTGACACATTTTACAGAGGCTATGCTTCTATGGATTTCGCTGACCGCCTCGGCGGCGAGCTAGGTCAGCTCGGAACTTGGGGTGCGGCTCGGCTGAAGCAGAGTGAAAACAGCAAAGCAGCCAGCTGTGTAGCAAGCAGAGCCGGCAGCACGGCAGATGTTGTAAGCCCAGGAGAGCTTGTCTTTCAGGCAGGATAGCTTTTACAATCATCGAGTGGTCTCTTTATTGGACAACGTAGAAACACCTTTTGCGACCTTGCAGCAGCTTGCATCGCGTCCGGTACAAATGCAGGTGCCTGCCGGACTTGAACATCCCAAGGTCGAATCTCTGAGCCAGCCCAGAAAACTCAGTACGAACGCAGCAGAGCAGCGCCTTCCGAATCCTACACCCGAAATCCATCCCAAAAGCAATGCAGCACTTCAAAACTTGCTGGTCGTGTTTACAAGTGCAGAACAACCTTATGCCGTTCATCCGGACAGATTGACTTGGCTTCACGCAAGCGACGGATCCAAGTCTGTTGTATTCACTGCAGATTCCCCCGAAGACACGATCCAAAGACCATCTACGCAGGAAATCCTTAAGGCAGTCTGCGTTGTAACTAAGCTTAAGATGCTCGAGAACAGGATGTCCCTTTATGTGGTGGGTTGCGGGCAACGCCGTGCAACAATAAGCGAGGTCCTGGCCGTGGGCGCCACAATGGGCTCAGTTGTCACCTGTGGTTCCCACCTCGGATTCCTGTCTCAAACCTGTTTCTGGCACTGAAATACTGGTAGGTGTCAAGCGAGAGTGACTTACGATATGGACTTCACTTACCCCACCTCCCAGACAGCAATCCCGGCCCCAGCTTGAAAAGGTCTGCTCACCGTGGCATGGCACCTCCGGGGTCTCTTTGAAACACCCTTCGAGGACGCCTGCAGGGTTGCATCCGGGAAGTGGGGCGAAGCTCCGGGTTGGCCACTGGAGGTTCAGTTCCATCAGTCTTTTGTTTCAGGCACAGCTTTGGGCTCTGTGTCCAATTGTGGCTCGTGAGAGTTTCGGGTGAGAGCACTTGCACAACTCTACACCTCAGAAGCAACGAGATTGGGGCTGTGGACCCCAGGAGCTATCCATGGAAGCAGATGACTTGGTGGAGGAGTACAACATGCAGAAGCAGCGCAGGCCAGTCGAACGGCTTTCATCGACAAGTCCCTGAAAGTTGAAGGGGATCGAGCGAGCCGGATTTCCCTTGGCGCCAGCTCTCTCACCCCGTATTGGCTGCATGGAGAGGTCGCTTCCGGCACGACCGGCCGCGGACGTGGAGCTTGGACAAATCCTTGGGAAAAGCAGCAAGGCAACAAGCGGTTGATAGATGAGTCGATGGTTTTTCCATACGTCGTAAATTGTTTATTCCGGTTGCATCGTAACCGCAAGTCCTGGCCATTAGGCCTAAGCTGTCCGTTCCGTTCGTATCTTGACGATAGCTAGATTCCCGCAACCGTCCGCATGCCTTCTCCGCCTTTGGACTTTGGAGTCTGTGCCCGACCTGGACTTGTCAGGTAGGCCGTGCGACCTGCCTTGACAATCGACAGTAGGGTATCCTGTACCGTCCTTTCTTGGGTCCTATCCGGTCTACCGAATACATATCCGTAGCTGCAGTTCGTGGATCCGCGTCGATCAGTTATACGACTCCAACCGTTTCTGACCAAGCTGCAGATTTTGAGCCACCGGAAAAGTACCGCTGCATCTGCATCTGCCACTGCTTCCCAGAGCCGGATGTAACGGACTTGTGCAACCGGATAGACCGCCTCGCATCTCCAAAACACTTGTCAGGCAGTGCGCCGCGAAACTTGCTCCAGGACGCCCGATGATGAGCTTCCGAGACATCCTGGCCACATGAGCAGTCCGTAATCTTCTTCCAAACCAGGACATCCTCGGGTGCGAGACGCAGCGCGTCAGAGGTCCGGGAAGCCGGGCCAGGCAGGTCTTGTGAACCTTGGGACTCTTCTCCAAGCCGATGGTAATTCAAGGTGCAACGTCTGGGTTCGGGAATGTTCGCATGGCCTGCAACGGCTCGATGGGATTAAGCCATTATGCAACCAACCGGTCCAGGACGGCGCAAGCCGGCTGCCGAGGCTTTAACAAGGCCGAGCTCGATGCTCGCACAAACACGGTCTGCCAGTGCAGGCCGTGGTCGTGGGAGGCCGCAGCATGACGCATGACGAAGGAGAGAGGGAAAGGGAGACAAAATTCCTGCCTTTCCCCGCTGCAGAAATCAAAGAACCGGCTGCATACAACCTTTAGCGCCATTTAACGCCCTCGCCCCTTTTGCCCGCTTTGGGTGCACTTGCAGGGGCGATACGTCTGACCCACCGAAAGGAAGAACTTAGAGCATGAGTGTTTTGATCTGTCTAGGTGTTTAGTTATTTCAGTTCGTCCTTCTGCAATGCTAGTAACTAGTAACTAGTATGCATGCAGATTTCTAAATGCACTAGGTTGTGCCTTTTTGCCTCATTTCCTTTTTGCTGTGTTTGTAAAATTTTGCTGATGTGCTTGGATGCACGACTTGGACAAGAAGTCATGCATTGCTGCGAAGTTGCTTTGCAGGGCCATGGCTGCACCGTCCCGAGACTCGAAGTGGCTGCTGTTCCTCGGCGAAAGGCCTTTAGACCTTGTTTCTTAGGCCCTGGACCAGCTGTTTTTTTTTAGGGTTTAGGGCGAAACCCAAAACCCTTGGAGGTGAGGCATGATGAGGCATGTATGCATGCCAGCAGAATTGTGGTAGGAATGGAATGACAAAGTATGCATCAAGCAAGAGTTTCTATGCTGGGACGTTAAGACATTACAATTCTATATGGTCCTTTCTACACACACTTTTCTCCACATCGAACATGCACCCCGCAAATCAGCTTTCGAGTGTATTCAGCCAAGCAGAATGCCACTCTCCCGGATCCACTACATGGTTGACCCTCCCTGGTCGCTGTTTTCTGATTAAACAGACTTGGAAACGCTTCTGCTTCAAAGCTCCAGGCTGCTTTCGAGCTGAAGTTCTCAATCTATGATGCAAGAATTTTCCACAATTTTCCCTTCCTGCCAACGCGAACACCAAAGTCGTCGTCAGGCTTGAGGCAGCGTTGGACCGAGACCAGCACACGGAGGACCTGCACGAATTTAGGCAGCGGGGGATGTGGTGCTGACGGCAGGCTGGTTGCCAAGGTGATGGGACGACACGAACAGGGAAGCCGACCCGAACGGCGCGCCTAAATGCCTTACATCCTCCTGAACTCTATACCCTCGTCGCAGGACGATGGCTTGGGTGCCCGGGCCATGCCAGTGAGCATTGGGAAAGTGGAGCGATTTCAAGGCCTGGACAGCTTCAAGTCGAAAGGCGTGACCGAATTCTCCAGAAGCACTAAGCGGGCTTGCGGCTTGCACTCGCGGCTTTCGCTTCAGTCCTGCATGACCCATGCCATCGCACATATCTCATGTCACACAGCCCAGTTTCCGGCAACCCCTTCAATGCAAAGCATTGCCGTGGGGCCATGCAGAATTCTGGGCATTCGTGAAGGCCGTTGTTGTAGCCCCCGCGTCAGTGCAATCGTAAAATTAGGGGTAGCAGAGGGGGCCGGTGGGGAGGTTCAACATGACATAGGATTTAATGCATCAGCCGAAGTTTGCAAGTTTTTCTCTTGTCGAGTGTCTGGTTGCTCATTGGCTTCGCCGTAGACTTTTGCCACACGCCGCACATGTTTGTTCGTTGTGCTTTGTCCGCTAAGTATGTGCTCCGCTGCATGTTTTTGGTTTCGACATTTTATGCTTTTGCTGCCCGAGCCCTACTTTGTATGGGAAGTGCAGTGCAGTGAATGCAAGCCGGGAGCTGCAGGTGGAGTCATCCATCCCAGAGTTAACAAACGCTTGCCAAAAGCAAGCCCAAAAGGTCGCATTAGAAAATTGGCAAACCGCCGACCTGTGCCGCCAGGAGTGCAGTGCTACCCTTCGCGCAGCGAACACGACAGAAGCAGGGTCACAATGCCCAATCGGAACGGTGGGAAAGCACACCGGAAACAGATCACAAGCATGCGGATAGCTACAAAGCATGAACACAGAGCAGCTCAGCAACAACGAGAAGTTATTGGATCTTCAGCTACGAAGCAAGGCCGTGACTTCAGCAATTGACTATCCTATAGCTGGTGTTCGAAGTCTAGCAGCAAGGTTTGATTTGATTTCGAGAGTGCTTTGGCGGGAAAATCTCTGAGAGACTCCCTCCCTCTCATTGGTGACCAAAGAAAGCCCGTATTCAACGAGCCGGTATAACGAGACTCCAATCAACACGAGCCCAGATCATCTGCGCAGTAGTGATCCCGTTCAGGGGCCCTCGTCGCAGCTGTGGTACTGCGTCCGGCCCGTGCTTTCCAGTCCCTCCCTCTTGCAGGGGCAGCGCCCTCAGCGACCACGGCGGCGCCGCCGCCAACCCTGTGCCCACCGCGGCCGGCACGGTGACAGAGCCGGAGCAACGGCCTTCTTCCGATGGTCGGTCCGAACATGACGAGCCGGCACAAGTCCGGTCTCCTGCTGTACAACGACCAGCCGGTTTCACAACGTGTCCAGCACGAAGACCTCGGCATCTTGCGCGGACAAGTTTGCTCTTGCACAGATGATGTGCTTTTCAGAACCGAAGTCTCATGTGCCTGTTGCGACTGCGAGTTGACATGCGGTGAAGCCACTAGTGACGCGCGGGATGATGCTACTAAAAGAGTTGGATGTGTGTTCTTCAGAACTGGCCGGTTTCAACAGTTTGCAGCAGCGCAAGCCTCCCTCGACAGTCTCAGATTGAATCGCAATCTTTGATCAGAAAGCTGCTCCAACAGAGACGGGACACATTGTCATTTGGTGCTGTCGACATGCTACCCAGATCGCCTGAAAGTGTTCCGGCTAGCCTAGACTTAATGATTCTGTTTGCAACGGTCTGCCTCGCGTAAGGACTCAATGTTTCAGCCTCGAGTTTCTCTCTGTAGGTCCACGCATCCCAGCTCTAATTCTACTGCTGCTTCTGCAGCTACTGCTGCTGCTGCTGCTGCTGCTGCTGCCTGCCAGCTTTTGGCAATGACACTGGTTTGTGGGTTATGCCGCTGCGCTCTCAGATCTCTGGGTGGAACTCGTCGTATGTCCTCATTCGTAGGTGAGGCGGCTTTGTTGCCAGTCTTTTTCGAGTGTGTTTGCAAGTAGGGTCCCTGTTGCATTTGGGTAGTTTTCCTTCAGAGATGGAGCTGGTGCAGGGCTCGGTGTGCTTTAGATTGCAGGCAGAGCCGTGTCGAGTGCTCGTCTGCAATGCGAGTGCAATTGTGGCGCCAACAGGCAGTACGTCTCGTGAGGCAAGTCGACTTGACAGAATGAAGTTCGTACGACAAAGAAATCAACATCTCAAGACCCTCCTCGTAATTTTTGGTGTATGGCACCAAGATAGGGGATATTCTTGGGTTCGAGGATGGTTGTGTGGTTGGGATCTTCAGGTGTGTTGTCCTAGCATGCTTTGCCTTTCATTCGGTGGCAGATTGAGGCTTTGGATTGCTGATGACCTGCACACTTGCGGGCTGGTTGAAGGTGCGAAAATGAGGTCTAAATAGTTGCACAAAAGCATAGTACATGTAAGGCGTGCCCGGATCGCAGTCGATTCGGCCGCAAACTTCGTCAATTTCATTTCAACATGGGTATGTGTTGCAGATTGGCTGCTGCCATATCCTTTGTGTTGCACTCTCTGTCCTCTCAACAACGCACTGCACCCGATCTACCACTATGACTGACTCAAGATGCAAAACTCCTCGTGGATACAATTACCGTGTTGTCCGAACCACTTCAATGTTGCCTTGATTTTGTCAGATTTTGTCGTTTAGCCGAAACTTCGTCCGCTGCAGACCCGCCGACGGGAACAAACGACCCCAGCTGTTGCGATTTCTCAAGCGCTTTTGTGAGCCCTGACGCACCTAAAGTCGGGCAGAAGTTTTACGTTTCCGTTTAATCAACAGTCAACAGTTGAACCCCCTGCTGGGCATCTGGCGTCTTAATCGGGAGAAATGTTGTTACGTAGATATGAACGGTCACAATGTCGTCAAATTTGCTGATGGTACCAGGTTGAAAAGAGTAAACGAAGCCACGTATTTAGGACATCAAATCACAAAAGCTATTGATATAAGACATGAAATCAACCACAAAATGCATGATACATTAAAAATTTGGTATAAGCTAACCAGTGCACTGGAAATTACGTGTCTATGATGCCATCATCAGAAATAAACTTCTACATGGCCTGGAAACTGTTCATCTAACGCAATCGATGCAGAAGAAAATAAATGCGTTTCAGTTGAGAGGAATTAGAAGGATCCTAGGGATAGATAATACTTATGTGAACCGCGCAAATACAAATGAACCTGTTTTGAGGAAAGCGAATGAGGAAATGAAGAAGTACAAACCCAGCGGCAAAGAAATCAAACTGTTTTCGGAGTTGGTTCGAGAGAAGCGTATCAAACTAGCTGGTCATGTTCTAAGAACCAGTGAGGAGGACCCCTTAAGGCAAGTTAGCTATAAGCCCAACTCCGCGAACACGTTGAGATTGGCAAAAGGAGGGTCGGAGGACCGAGACAGAATTGGTTAGTGTACACTAACAAATATATTTGGGAAAATAAGGTTTCCAATCCTCCGACTCAATATGTTTCTTCAGGTGAGCAAAACCAACGAATTTTCGAAGACGCCAGAACCCGCCAATTTTAAGCCGCCCCTCGTGCCCACGGTCTCACTTCTTTCTGCTTAAGAAGGCAAGGGACTTTGGCCCAGAAAAAAAACTGCAGGTCGTGGGTGGCAGAAGACAACTACGACATCTTTACCTTGTTACGAGGCAGGCTTGTGCTTGGAGGGGTTGGTGGCAGGCTGTCAGCCAGAGGATTAAGCACACCGATGGCATCGGAAAGCTTGAAGCAATGCTAGGCCTTTTCGGTTCCCGTGGCTTTATCGACCCTCGGCTCCGCCTCATCGCGACGGCACGGGGGCGCAGTGTCGTCACGGTTGGGAACTTGCTCCTTGGACCGATTTGGTGCAGCTTCTTGGAAGGGCTTTGTGCTCAAACGGCAGAACGCGACATCTGTTTGAGATACGGCAAGCAAGGCTGCATTGGATGCTTGGGCATGCAGTGTAGTAGTGTAGGGGCAGACAGTGATGTAGAGAATCTGTTGCTCCTCTCCAAGCCCAGGAAGCGACACGAGGTGCTTTTCCAGGCTGGTAACGGGCTGCTGGGAAGCTTGACTCGACTGGCAGCAAGCTTTCCGAAGCCCACTGGTCTTGTTTGAATTCCGCTGGTCGCGAAGTTCGGGGACCGCGAACCAGGTATTTGCGATACCAGGGAAACAAGTGCTACATGCCTGGTGGCGCCCCGCTGCACCCGGCTATGACCGGCCTCAACGGCAGGTGCCCCTGAAGTCTGTGCTGCGACGCAAGCTTCCGTGGCGGGAGGCTCGTGGTTTGCAGTCCGGCTCAACTTAGCCTCGCACGCGGGCGACCTTTATCATATCGGCCACGGCACAAATGTAACCCTGACATGTCTGTGCAGACCCTTTCGTGTTTCAGGTGCTTTTTTCTTTCAGCCAGGTTGAGAAACGATTCGCCCAGTCACCGGCCTCTATCGGGGTAGCTGGTGACTGCATGACCTCCCTTCTTAGTGCAGCCTGCGTGAGGGGTTTGGGGTTTTCTTGCTCTCCCCTTCCAACCCACCCAGTGTTGCCTTGTGTCCCTCCCCCCCAAGAACCACGTGCGCAGGAAAAGGAGTCAAGGTCGCCTTGTTATGCATATCTCGGGGTGGCTGCTGTCTCGTTGTTCGAACGATTCGCGGCGCCGGCTTCTCCGATTTTGGTCGCTCCTTGTCCCACTAGCTGCAAAGCGCAGCCATGCTTTCTTGCCATGGCAGCTTGTTCATTGCGCATTGACCTGTTTCGGGCCGCAATTGTCCACCGCGTCGGTAAGTCTTTGCAAGCTCCGCATATGAGAAGGGTTTTTCTGAGTGCGCGGGCTCTCTGCTCGGGAGCTGCCGGGCGGAAGCATTTACGGCAGAGGCCCTTTCAAAGCATGCCTGCGATTCACGTGGCCCTGAACAAAGAATGGAGCAGCCCAAAAGCTGGAACAGCTGAAAACTGGTTAAGTTTTGCAATATTCAGGCAGGATCGCTTGGTTGGGATCTATGCTTGTTTGTCTAGATCTTGGACATTGTTGGGTTCGTTCTTGCCATGGTAAGTCTAGTCTCGGATTCTACATGGTGATTTGCGCATTGACAGGTGCCCCTGTTCAAAGCCAGCCGCAAAAATCTCTCCGAGGAGACTGCAAGAGTGATGTCGTGCAGCCGACTGTTGCAGCACGCTACGGTTGACTCAATGTTTCATGACGGCTCTGCGTGGACATCTTTCGGTCATCAGACCCCAGAAGCTGAGAAAGAGAAACGTGTCAGGACGAGGAGATAATCCTGTTTCTGGCGGCCCTGCGAAAGTTCGGAGTCTACTCGGAGTGGTTCCCCAGCCTTCGCGAGACTTCTGGGAAGATGTTCGGAGTGCCTGTTTTGCTATGGGCCTTCAGCGCGTCACGGTTGTTTATCTTTGGATTCGACAATTCTCATTGCATCTGCTGTAAAGATCGTAGGGTGGCGTCAGCTATCTTGAGAGTATCTGCGAGTTGTTTCTGAGGAAGCTCTTGGAGCAGAGACTCAGCTTCAAACTCAGATCCGTATGAAGCATCCACTGTCTGAGAAACCCAAGCAAGGCTTCGGGGACGCATGGGGCAGGTCCAAACTGCCACAGCCCATCAGTTCATGCAGATGTCGTTCCCTACTTATGTTGGTGGTGTGGGAGTCGAGGATCCAACCACTTCGATTGCCAAGAGCGACGCCTTGCTCTTTCTCCAGGTACCGCTACCTGCGAACTCTTCCTCTCGAAGAGGCCTCCACACCAGTGACCTGGAAGCCGAATGAGGCGCACGCCCTGGAAGAGCACATTGAGGATTCACAGGTGGTGATATAGAAGCGTCAACCTGCGCGATCGAGCTCATGACAGGCACAACGAAAATGAATGTGGCAAGCGCACCAGACAATACTAGTAGAGATCGGCTCTTGGTTCCCATTCATGTCCACAAATGAATGCCATATGCTTCTGCATAGGTGTCCAACGCTTAGCTCAGACACAGAGTGTGAATACGCACCACTTGATATATACACATGTATAGGTATGTATGTATGTACATTTACATATGTATACATATGTATATGTATATGTATATGTATATGTATATGTATATGTATATGTATATGTATATGTATATGTATATGTATATGCATATGTATATGTATATGTATATGTATATGTATATGTATATGTATGTACATGTACATGTATATGTGCATGTATATGCATGCATGTATGTATGTACGTATGTATGTACATATGTATGTACAAATGCATGTATGTATGTATGCATGATCTATAGACCCTTTTTTCCGTGTATTTCTTTGTGTGTCTAGCATATTCATACGTATACGTACACGCATGCATGTATGTATGTACGTATGCATACATACATGCATATGTGTACATCTACACGTACATACCCATATTGTATATAGATGTCTAGATATTGGTTTTTCCGGTGCTGCATCCTATGACCATCAGATCCACGCCCTGCGTGGGACACCTGCGCACTCGGAAGCCCGGACCCTGCGGAGGCCACCGCCTTCAAGCTTTGGTACTGTTGCCATTTCTGCTGAAAGGAAGTGGAAGGTGTTAGAGTCTGGGTTGTTGACGTAGGGACCGCTTGTCACCTCGCATGCCTCGGCAAATTCATCCACCTCCTTGTGTTGCAAGCATACCAAAACCGGTACGGCAGGCAGAACATAGACAAAGGCCAATTGGGAGCTTACCAAGCACGAAAAAGAAGCAGCTTCAAATTGAGGAAACTATGTTCGCGAACGTACCGGTCTGGTCAACAATTTGCCGATGCTGCATCAAACGGCCAATGCGAACTTGAGTTCGGATTTGCTTAGTCTGCGGAGAGGTCGTGAGGTCGTTCTTTGGTCGAAACATCCGCTTGGAAAGACTTAGAGCAGAAGCCCTGCTGTGTCGCCTGGTTTGCTAGGTTGAGGTTGTGGGACGGTGATGTTTCAGCTTGCTTGAGTCCACTTGGCAATTATGTCTTCCTTGCAGGATATGTTTCAACAAGCGCAGTACCTACAATCTGAGCTCGTGAGCTTGCAGACAATTTCTATCCAGGCAGCTGTCGGCCCTTTGCGAACGCTTCACTGAGCAATTCGTCTGCCAGCGGCTCAGGCTGAGGACCCAGGACTTTGGGGCGTACTCGTCAGCAGTGGTCACAAGGCCTGAGTTGCCTTATATCGGGCAGTGAGGCAGCCTCTTTTGCATAGGTCGAACGTTGCAAAATGTTACATCAGCCCGTTGATCGCCTTGATGGGCTGTCCCGGCACTGTCGAGACGACCGAATCTAAACACATCCGTTTGCGTCGTCTGGGCCGCCACGAGTGCAGTGTGTGAACGGGCACGATGCTCGCTTGTAAAAGAAATGTTACAGCACCTCAGCCCGCCCCAGGCGAGGAGCTTCGGTGGGCTGCGAGTCATTACTGGAGCCGGGCAGTGGCCGTGGTGTGGAGCCTCAACACTTCACGACGTGAGTCACGAGCATCATCCAAACGCTTGAAATCTCAATCCAAATACATATTCCCGATTCTCCAGGTCGGTGCGTCACCAAAGGCTTTTCGAGCGCTGATCCCCGGGGTGCCTTGGTTACGGGTACTATGCTGCCACTGCGATTGCGATTCACCTCTCCGTGTTTGTCTTACTGGGTTTGGGTTTTGCTGCGCTCTTTCTGTCTCTGCAGCCTAGTCGGTCGGCGCAAGCAAACACCGTGCAGGTGGATTTGTTAAATTTCGACTCTGGAGCGCAGAACTACTTCCGCATGGCTGGGCCAGGGTCTCAGCTCGATTCAGGATCTTCGGGCATTCTCGGTGTATTTAGAGTTTAGGTAACCTGGGGATGGGGGTTGACAAGGGCCTGCAAGAGAGACCGAAGATGAAGCATGTGATCAGCGACAGTTGCCGGAGTGCAAGACTCAGGCAGACATCGCATGAACCAGTTGTCAGCATGAGCGAATCTGTGCAAGCGGCGCAACCTTGAATCTCAATTTCTGCACTCTGAATAAAGGCTTTTCATAAAGCTTGGAGCCGATTCTGTACCGTACTGGTTCATTCTACAAGGGTCCGTCTCCGACGCATGCCAGCTTGACAGACTGGTGTTGAAGGTCGGTGTAGCACATCCTGCTTTCTTTTGAGGGGAACCCCTCTACCAACATTCAGCTTGGCTTTCAGCCTTCAGGGGATGAAGAAACTGTAGGCTTAGAGAATAATTCCATTCCCAGTTGTACAAGTGTTCAGGATTCGGGCTTAGGGTGTTGCTGCTTTCGGGGCTCACGGCTTTGCGGTGGAGGGTAGTCGTAGTGCAAGGGTTTGTAGATGGTCTCTGCAAAAGAAACATCTTCAGGCTTCTGCCTGGAGGGAAGAACCCCTAACGTGCTTCATGTTGCGGGCGATTCGTGACGGTGTCTGTCTTTGTCCTCTGCATGTGTTTCTGTGTTTGTGTGTGTGTGTTCATGTGTGTGGGGGTTAGGTGTGGCAACGACTATCTCCTTTTTTCAGATGCTTTCAGACGATCCTAGCATGCACCAGGAAGAGCATCGTCTACATTGCAGGCCTTCTGTTGGCATCCTGTTATCTGAAGTGATTCGCTATAGTACAGTCGGATAGTCTCGCAGTGAAGAATGCAGTTCTCTGCCACGACGAAGTCAACTAATCTATCATCCAGCACAGATCTGTTTGCTTATGCACGGAGAGAGATTGGCGCATGACTACAACGGACTCGTAGGACTTGCAGCAGGGAAGGCTCAATGCGTCAGGGCTCCGGGCAGTGCATTAGTCTTCTGAAAGGATAATCGGTGTCTGCTTCGCAAGTAAATTCTTGGACCCCAAACTGTAGCCAGTGAGCCAGGCAAGGACTATACAGCTGGCGAGGAGATCCTCGACAGCTATGGAGGAGGTGTGGCGGGTGTTTCTGTCCACACTGCTGCCAGTAGCAAGCGGCGTGCACGACGAGGAACACCCCCCACAGCTTCTTTGATTGTCTGCTACTACAGGCAAGAACGACACCAACCTGCTGGTTCACTATGGCTTTCTTGCGCAGGACTCATGCCTTGCATTTCAAGGGTCGAGTAACTCGCAGCCTCGCCAGCCGCTAGCCGTGCAGAGGGGCTCGAGGCAAAACTTCCCAACACGTCCGAGCTCTTTCAACATCAACCGACCGGCCGTTTTGGCTCGATGGCTTCTGGGTCACGGAAGGGTCCCGAAGACGCCGCGCCGCCGACTTGCCTTCTGGGCCGCCTGGCTCTTTCTGGGCGGGGGGCTTTTTCGACACGCCCAAGCGCTCACGATACGGCAAGTGGTCCTCTGTGAATCTCGAATCAATCTCAAAGCGAGGCTGAACATGTCATCAGAGAGTCATCGTGCAATCGTTGCCGAGCTTTGTGCCCTTGCCCGTTTCATGTGATTAGAGCTAGCTGTACCCATCGTTGTTGCTCGTCCAGTCATGTGGCAAAAGCCTCCTTTCGCAGAGGTCGAGCGGGGGACCAGCCATGACCATCAAGTATTCCCGGGAGTCAAAGAACCCGAACAAGGCCGCGTGGACCGCGCAGGTCTCATATGCGGGCATTACGCAGTTTCTGGGTTACAGGAAGTTTGTTTCCAATTTCAGGAAGATCCAGCTTCCTACACATGTGTTTTCATGAAAAGAATGTCTAGCTCCTTAGCCTCTTCCTGCATCCCCGTGAGGCATGCAAGGCACAGGGCGTTGACCTCAGGGTGACGCTTGGCCGAACACAGCTAGCTTCAGGGGTACTTCCAGAATCCCAGTGTCGCAATATGTCGTGATTGCAAGGCACTACAAGAACACCTATGAAACCGCGCAGGCAGGGAGTCTTTTCCACTGTTGAAGTCCGTCGAAGAGGCAGCCTTGCTTCTGCGTGTAGCTCCACTTCTCACTTCCCGCGCTGTCTCCAGGAGCGCACTCTCTGTCTCTCTATCTCGTCGTCGCTCTCTCTCTCTCTCTCTCTTTGTCTCTCCTCCCTTCCCATGTCTCTCCGTCACTCAATCAAACGCAGCATGGAAACTGACAGGCCATCAAGGGCATGACCCTTACGAATGCCAAGCAGTACTTGCTGGATGTTTGTGAGAAGAAAAGGCACTCGTCTTTGTTGATTGGAGTGCCAGGTGTCGCGCACTAGGTCTAGAAGATGTGTAGTTGTTTCCGCTATGTACGAAGCGTTGGAGATTGTACACTGTTCGCGGCATCTGTCCCACACTGCTTCCTGTAAGTGTCCAAACTCAATGATGCAGATGAGTAGGGAGTCGGCCAGGCAGAAGCAGTAGTAGTAGTGGTCGTAGTAGTAGTAGTAGAAGAAGTAGTAGTAGGAGTAGTAGGAGGAGTAGTCGTAATTAGTAGTAGTAGTAGTAGTAGTAGTAGCAGTAGTAGTAGTAGTAGTAGTAGTAGTAGAAGTAGTAGTAGCAGTAGCAGTAGCAGTAGAAGTAGAAGTAGCAGTAGAAGTAGAAGTACAGTTCGAAGTAGAAGTAGTAGTAGTAGTAGTAGCAGTAGAAGTACAGTTAGAAGTAGAAGTAGTAGTAGTCGTCGTCGTAGTAGTAGAAGTTGGAGTAGTAGCAGTAGTAGTAGCAGTAGTAGTGTAGTAGTAGTAGTAGTAGTAGTAGTAGCAGTAGTAGTAGTAGTAGTAGTAGTAGTAGTAGTATTAGTAGTAGTAGTCGCGGCGGAGGAGTGAGGAGGAGGTGAGGACCGGAGGAGTAGTAGTAAAGTGGCACGAGCGGTTCAAACATGGGGGAGTCCGGAATGGCAACGTCCTTTTGGAGCCCGCTGTGCATCTTAAAGCTGCTGCAGCTGACATTTTGCTTCACGCTCTGTATTCCGACTGTGCCTCTGTAAGACATATTCAGATCCTGCTTTTAGTTTGCTGGCCCGACACTGACGCAAGCACCGCCATCACGGATATCCAAGAGTACTTCCCGCCGAAGTGTTGTCTGCAAGTACGAGCTTTCTATGCACGCAACTATCGTTGGTTGCTAGCTCATTTCTCTGTCGCCCAGCAGATGGGGATTCAGATCAATCGATTTTTCTTGGACTGACCACGACTCCTTTTACCACAGCCTCAGAGTACATTTCCTATGCATGACCGATTGTTCATCTCATCTGGAGTAAACAAGGATTCGCGAGTCTTTGGCTGCAGGTGCATCCCGTTCCGCAAGTACACGGGTTGCATTGGTGCCGCACCAAGAGAGATAAGCGCGGTGAAACGTGTCAGAGTTCAAGTTTTCGGCTGCCACAGTGCTGTGAAAGTTCTGCCGTTGCTTTTCGGCAGTCTAGACTTACTGAGCACAGTGTCAATGCAGCGACTGCACAAGGCCTGTGTGCAGGCTTCAGCCTTCTTCGCGTCCCCGAATTAAACCGATCTTGGCGAATGCCAGATGCCTGAGGCCGAACTCCGCAGGCCAAGGAGTTCAAGATGACCCAGGCGTCTGATTGACGCCTTGACGCTTCTTGCTGTCGGTGATCTCCAGTGACAGTGAGTGGCCTCGGCAGGTAACTGCACGGTTGATGTGAGAGTGTTTGGTGACGATAGAATCCACACAGTCAGACAGCAAACCACCATCAAGTTCCACACGCCTCACTGCCAGGGCCGCTGGCCAGTCAAGTCGGCCAAGATTGTCCTAGGGCTGCTCAGGCGTGCGGTCACACGGACAACTCTGGAGTTGGGCAGTGTCCAACTTGGGGCGAGCATTACTTCCCATGTTGGGGTATAATGTGGCAGGCGATGTAGGTGTAACAAACATACCTGTTCAGCGCTCAAGGATTTTTCAAGGGAACACGACCTTTGGAGAAGTGTCTGTTTGTGAACGGTGATGCCGGAGCTGAGATCTGACCAACTCAGGTTTTTTCACCCACATGCCGGGAAACTCATAGGCAACAGCTATTTTCTCCGTGGCGTCGTAGACTTCCGGACGAATCAGACACTGGATCCCCGACGAAGGTTTCAGCCCAGCTCTGCTGCGCAGGAATGCCGAGGCCAACGCAGAGTTCAAGAACTTGGAGACCGAGAAGTTGGTCGTGGAGCATGTGCAGGCAGGGCAGCAGCAACTTCAACAGCCCCGCAAGGCATCAGAGAGATGGCCCTGAGATTCCGCCAAATCGACAAGCACAGCCAACAACATGCACGGTACTTTCGTTGGTAGTCGTTGTCAGAGTTGTCTTTGTCGGGGCATGCCGAGTGTTTTGGACCTTAAGTGGGGTCTCCTGACTGCTGCATACCTGGACAGCTGGTTGTAGTCCGAAAATGCCACTTCCACCTAGCGGCGCCTTTCGCTCAGCTGCCGATATTTCAATGACGTCTGAAGCTCGACGGCGCGAAAGGTGAACGCAGCGCAGCAGGGCCGTCGACGAACCTACCGAGCTCACGGCCGCATCGGCCCATACATGTCGGGGGCCTTGGGACCCGACATCGAGTCCAGGGGTCTCATCGGTAGACTAGTGACACAGTGAGCCTCTACATTGACGTGCGGAAGTTCTGCCCAGGAACTGCCCGTGCCATGTGGAGCTCATCCTGTCAGAGCCCCTCGATGGCGTGGAGAAGGCAGACGAGGCAGCACGTTGCAGTGCCGTGCCCGGTGCGGTTCAGGTCTGCTCAGTCTTAAAGCATCAGCTTCACAGTGCCATTCTCCAGAGGAATCTCCGGGGCTGCGTTTTGAGCGAAGCATTCTCAGGAGGTCAAGCCGAAGAAGTTCACCCGAAAGCAGTTCGCCAAGCTCCGCCTGAAGGCACAAATCAAGACAGATTGTTGGCTCCTCTCGAGACCGAGTTCCACTTCCTTACTTTGTGCTTCTCGTGATGCCATGCCGAAACTGGTCCTAGAGTCGCAGGTTCATGCATCAAACCCAAGCGTAAAGAGCATTGGAGCGATCCCGCTGCGAGGTAGGTGGCGACCAGTGAGAGTGAGAGGTCACAGTTCCCAGAGTCAGAGCTTTACTCACGGCGCGGTGAAAGCAGGGCAGGGCTTTTTGCGAAGGGGTGCTGGGAGCATCCAGGTGCACAGGGCTTGTGCATTTTTTGGTCTGGTGGTGCATGGTTAGCAGGTTCACCCCCGAACTTCTCCAAGCAGGTTTTTGTTTCAACGACAGGAGGCTTGGACACACTGGACCGCATGCTCCGATGGTTGGACTCTGGCGGTGCATTTCCGGCTCGAACTCTGATTCTTGTACAGGGATCCAAAGAAACCGCGCTGCCTTTGGTTCAGGGCCACTCGGACGCGGATGTGTCTGGTGATCTGAAGTGCCAGGAATCGTGCTATGGAACTATGGAGTGCAGCGAGATGTGTAAGCGGTTGAAAGTGATGAGGAGCAGTGATTGGCATCAGTTTGCGTACGTTCCACCCGATGTGCACCTTCCATCACCTACCCTTCGAACAGGGGCGTGCCTCACAGTAAGGCTGTGATGTGGTTGAGATGCAGTAGAGTACATGCTAAGCGGCCCTAGGCGCGCTTCATGTGAGCGGTGGAAGTGCAGTTTTCAGTGTCCCCGAGCCGAGGCCGCTGCCGGGGCCATGACGATCAAGTACTCCAGGGAGTCGAAGAACCCGTCGAAGGCCCCGTAGAAGCGGAGCGCCGGAGTTGCGTTGCGCCGCATTGCGCCGCCTGTGAGAGGCCTGCAAAGCACAGGGTGTTGACCTCCGGGTGACACTCGGTTGCAGCCTTTGCGGTATCGACAGTTCTGTCCTTTAACGAAAATTCGTCAGAGGTTTTTGCACCAAGAAATTGAGTAACCTCAGCGCGTAGCGGCCCTAGCGAGCACTCCAAGCCTCTGGAAAGGATGCCTGTGTGTTTGACGATAGGACCAGCAGAGCACATAATATGGAGACGAAGTGACGGGTGAGCACCCGGGTCTGTCGCTTCCCATTGCAGGCATTACAAGAACACCTACGAGACTGCACAGGCAGGGACGTGATCAGGATAGCACACCAGCGGGAGTGTTGATTTGCTAAAGCCGTTTAATCAAAGCCGTTATCTGGAAGATTGAGAAGGTTGTGAGATTCCTGGGATCGCCTTCCTTTTTTGGAAGGGTCTAATGGAGCAGCTCCAAGCCAAGCCTCGTCGCGCACCCTGGCAGCAGGCGATCAAGGGCATGACTTTGACTAATGCGAAGCAGTACCTGCAGGACGTCTGTGAGAAGAAGAGGTCCCTCTGAGCCTCTGAAGTGTTTGAAGCCGCTGGTTGCGCCGACGGCTCCTGTGCAGGTGCATCCCGTTCCGAAAGTACACAGGGTGCATTGGCCACCTGGCGAGTAGAGAGTTGGGAGGGAGAGAGCAGCGGTGAGATTCGTATCTTGAGAACTTGACACGTCAGAGGTGTCCTGCCCTCCAAACTGTTGGACTGCACCTGCTGACAGCATGAGGCCGCACACCACAGGCCAAAGAGTTCAAGATGACCCAGGCAGCAACACGTTTGTTAGTGCAGTGTGTCGGCAGCTTTCGGCCGGATGGCATGTGTGGTCTTCTTTCACACAGCGGACATTCTCTTGCGCGAGCAGTGCAGGGACTTCCCCTGCTTACCATGTCGCAGAGCCATGCATGAGCTGAACGTCCCGACACAGGGCCGATGGCCGGTCAAGTCGGCCAAGATCGTCCTTGGGCTGCTCAGGCGAGGGTTGGTGAACAAATCAGAGGGTTTGTTTGCACTGGTGGCCCAAACGGCCGTGAAGGAGATCGGTACTTGAATTTCGCTTGATTGCACCGCAGGAACGCCGAGGCAAATGCCGAGTTCAAGAACCTGGAGACGGAGAAATTGGTCGTGGAGCATGTCCAGGTACTCACCATAAACGGGAAGGATTTAGATTTTTATCGTCAGAGTCTCGCGTGTTCAAGCCGGGGTTGAGGCTCAGCATGGATTTGTGAACTGCAGGTGCGCACACACATACCTGTATTAAGTTGGAACATACCTTGCCGATTTTCGGCTATTGGCACCACCCACCCAAAAAGATAAATATCTATCCTAAGGAATTATTTTTATGTATTCTCAATACCCGTATTTATCCAAGTGCCATAGTTCAACATAGGCAAGGTGTTCCTTGTAGAATTTGGTTCAGGGTTTAAGGTTTATTTGGGGTTAAGGGTGTAACACGATAACATTATTTTGATTAAACAGTATTGTGATTGCTCTTCTTTGGTGGCTTACCTACATGTATAACAAATATTTTGGTTCATATTACTATGCATGCTTATCCTTCTCTATTTGTCCAAATTTCATTATCCTTCCATACCTGAAGTAGTGTTTCGAATATTGGTTTTTCAAATCTATGTCGTCTGTAATGGTCTTAGTTGCTTCTCTTAAAATACAGATACTCGCATACGGTGAATCCATACAGCTTTGTTCGTTAAACTTTTCTCCCACTGCCTTAATGCTTTCAAACTTCTTAATGCTTTCATACAGTTCAATAATTCCTTCTTCGTCTCTTAATACAATACTGTGCCAAAACAGTTCAATTTTTCCTGAACTGTTTTCTCTATAGGCATTTGAAGTCGCCATAAATTATATGAGACTTTCCTCCAATTTTTTCTTCCACCTCGTGGTAGTGGGTTTGCACTTACAGGTTGAATAATGTCTTGTGGGGTGGTTCCTTCCAGTTGCCAATTCATCACTCTACTATTATATCAGGGTTTAGTCTTTTAAGTCGTTTTTTTGAGAACCATTATTTCCGTAAGATTTGGGAGGGGGAAACCCGGCAGGCCCCCTCTTGGTGGCAAAAAGAGTAGGTAGAATGCCTGTAGACGGTATGAAGAGGAAACCCCGCAAGTACCGATGAATGTGGGGTTATAATTTGTATCTGCATGCTGTACAGATACGAATGAGGCATCAAAAACGGATGTCCAATTCCATTCCATCTTGTCTAGGTACGTCAAAAGGTATAGTGTCATATTGAACAGCAATACATCTTCTGATGGAAAGGCAAGACAGTCAATGCAGCACGGTAAGAAGAAATGCTAACCCAGGTGGCAACATCGAGTATTATGTTCATCCCGTATAGGTGTCGGATTTACATGTCATAGCTCCCTCATCATTGCTCAACCACAAATACCTCGTTGCTACTCACGTGATATCTGTTACATGGCTACGTACTTGCCTGCATTGTCAGTGCGTATTGAAATAGTGTTCGTGTAGTGTAACAGCGATGTAATTAATTTTGTCCGAATGCGGAATCTATACTTGCCTAGCACTTAATGTTTTTAAAGTGTTTGTGTATTATGTCTGTGTTATAATTAGTATGCAACTAGCTCTCGCTTCAACATTTACTTGATATCCAACTATTAGTCAGTATTGAATGTGAAATACCTGTGTTGCTATGCCATATTAACCAACCTAACATGTATTCCGGTTTTAAGCAATGCTATTGTAATTGTGTTCTTCTATACAATTAACGGGTAAACCTTTATTACATGCTTAACGTGTGACAATATTTTTGTATATTCAACAACATTCATCATGGCTAACTGTTCAGGCAACTAATGTGGAATGCGCAAGCAGTTGAAACTGGACAACAAGACCAACCGCAGGAACTGCTATTGCACCGATGGTAGGAAACTAGTCGGTCCAATGCAAACAGCATTTGAGTGGCAGCTAGTGCGATACCTTAGTCACCCAAATCATTTTGAATGCATCCTGGGTTGTATGTTTCATGTGTTACCTCCACCCTCAAAAAGCAGACGACGATTTGCTCCTTGTGTACTTACCGTTGTTTCTTCTGTACTGAAATAAACGATGCTCAGCATCCCCAAAAAATGAAAAAGCACTTAACTGTTACGTCTTTTCGGGTCCACATCTTCAAAGACAATAAAACACCTAGTCATGTTGTTTACTTAGGAAATGATCTTACATGTATCCGTATTTGTTAGTCTTGTACTAAGCTCAACCAGTATTGGCCAGATAGTACAACAGGCCCTGCTCTTGCTGCATGAGAACTGATCCTGCACGAAAATGGCATTTTGCGATTTGTTAAGGCCTTGCGCTACGTCGGCTGAATTTCCTAAGCAGTGAAAAAAATTCACATACTATAGTCTGTCCTCAGCAGAATTTTGGAAAAGGCTGGCACAAACCTCCAACCCTCTGTGGGCAAGCAGCTCCGCGCGTGCAGCCAACGACTGGGGTGCGAGCGGGCATTCACAGAAGAGTCCACAACCAAAAAAGCAGAAACACCAACATAACCAAAACAACCAAAAACACCAAAAATCTGGGGGACTAGTCTCCTGGAAAATTGTGTGTTTTTTGTTTGTTTGTTTTCTTTTTTTTGGGGTTTTGGTTTGCTTTTGGTACTTTAGAAACTGCTATTCCGCCTAGAGGGTCTTACTATATCCAGTAGAAGGACGAGAATATTTTAAAACAACATGCGTGTCTTAAAGCAATGCTTTTGTGCTCATACGGGCCGGCCATCTGAGACCTCTGAGCTCACGGTCTCTTCCTTAGCCCGGCTCTTCCTTGCACACTTGGCCACTCTGCAGCCGGAGATGCCCGAGAGGAGGGGTCTCGAGAGCCTCCTTGTGAACGACGTCTTGCTCAAAGGCCTGGACCGTTGAGGCTTCCTGGCCATGGCACTGTCGCTCTCACATAAACCTGTTGGAGACCCGCTCCTTCGTCTGCGACGGCGGGGTAGCGAGCAACCTCACCGTGACCTCCGTTTTGTGCTTGCCCTTGACTCCGCAGTCCCCATCGGGGCTCTGAACAAAGGCCGAACCTCGTCGCGGAGAGACAAACACAAAGAAAATAACAACGCAGAACGAAGACATTAACGTGAGAAAAACAGAGACAAGATAAATGAACGGAAACGGTTGAACCATCAAATACATAAGGAAAAATGACCAACAACCGTGAGTATTATAAAGAACATATAGAGGTAATGAACCAACAATCAAGCGAATATAGACAACACCACCTTGAAGAAACAAGGCAGAAGGACAGAGACTAGCATTGGTAAAATAAGAAGGAACGTAATGACAATAGCAAAGATTATTATGAAAGCAAAAAGTTACAATCACTAGGAAACCAAGCCATCAAAGAACATGCAGACGAGTTCCTACAAACAACCCAAGATAATTAATAATACAATCAAATATATTATCAATGTCCAAAACAAACTAGGATTAAAAAAGTAAGGTGAGTTAAACTGAGACAAGGGCATGTCTTCTTATTCTTCAATGTTTCTACCTTTTCTTCCTCTTCTTGCAGTTTGATTAACAAGTCTCTCGTCGCTCTTAAGAGTATATGGGTTTCCGAAATGTCTTTGCTTGTTTTGCTTCAGTAGTTCCATACAGGTAGCATACTCAGAGTGCAAATTACTCATATACAATAGCTTATATTATGTTAATCGCTATCGCTATTCGATTTTGCTTTCTTCAGCTTCGTTATTTTTCTTTTCAGGGTGGCCATTTCATTTTTCACTGCTTTAAATGATGACAGATCCAGCACAGGTAGCAATCTTGGGACGATTGTGGCGCCAGTTCAGGTGAATGCAGCACAGCAGGGCCGCCGACGAACCTATCGCGCACACGGCCGTATCGGGCCGTACATGCACCGGGCCGAGGGCGTTGACTGTGCAGCATGAAAGCATGAATGAATGACTGACAGTTGGGGAGGGTGCCACCGTTGAATGCTGACACTTTAGATCACGGAAGCTGGCGCGGCATGGTAGCAGCTAGCACGTGCGGGCTGTGCCTCCACTTCGATGTTTGAGGAATTGCCCGTGCCACGTGGAGCTGATCTTGTCTGAGCCTCTGGAAGGCGTGGAGAAGGCAGACGAGGCGACCTGCGTGGTGCAGCTGACAAGATTCGAAAATCCGGGGGCTTGTGCAGGACTTGTTGAGGAGACTAGCGGCTAGCCGGGAAAGGTTCAACCCCCTCGAGAAGCAGTGGCAAGGGCAACTTCACGCAAAATTCACAGGCTGTGAATGTTGTTCGAGGCTTGAGGCTGAAGGCTATCGTCCCCACATATCCGAATAGTCTGCTGCGCGAGGAGGTGAAGCCCAAGAAGTTCACACGAAAGCAGTTCGCGAAGCTCCGTCTGAAGGCTACTGGTATGTAAAGTCAAAGTGTTTCATGCTGCGTCCTTCCGTCGTTTCTGCCTTGGTGAGAATTTCGGCATTGTGGGGCCGAACACGGGCCGTCGTTGTGTAGTCCTGGACTTGGCTTAGCGCCTATGAGCAAGTTCTGGTGCATAGTGCCGAAAGCATTTCCGCAAAACAGCCTCGCCTGTTTCCAACGCTTTGGCTTCATCCGTGCTCGTGCGGAAACCTGTTGCATGAGGGCATGAGGGCGTGTTGTGGTGCTGGCAAGCCAGCCGTAGGTACACTCTCGAAGAGTGTCCAGCACCTCACAGTGGTCCCCTTGTGTGCCACAGCAGCCTTGCACCTGGGTCGACCAGTTCCCCCGAACTTCGTACACCTGCAGCTGCATGCAGCATGAACCAAGCTTCAGGCCTGGTCTTGGTTGTGAATCACATTCACTGACACAGGTGGGCGGCGACCAGTGAGATGGATCCCTGATTGAGCCTGAAACGGCGCGGCAAAATGGGCCATCAAGCCTGCAGACAGTGGTATGTTCGTGGTCGGGTGCCGAAGTTCGAAGTGCCAACAAAACTGAAACGGAGAAGCTTGCAGGATCCTGCTGGCGGTTTTGCTGAACTTCCCCTGCCCCGAGCCGCCGGACTGTGCAGAGCCCAGATCAGAGACGTAGGAGCTCCAGAAGTCATGCAGATTTCTGCACTCCTTTCGTCGAAGGTCTCGTTTTCCCCAGCACCGATTGCTAAAAACGTGCTGTAGACTCCTCCATGGTCGGTAAAGATCACATGACCTGAGGGTGCATTGGTGCATTCAGGTATGTGGATTCTCTTACATCTTCGATGCTCAAAAAGCGGCGTTCCACCATGTTTTTCTCGGAGTGTCCATTCGCAGGCACTCGCATCTCAAAGATCAGATGCTGCAAGTGGCGAGGCCGCCGATCTGCCCGGGCCGATGCTTGTCTTCTGTTTTGCAGCATAGCAAGCCGAGGACAAAGCGTTCCATCACAGAGAATGACTTGCGGCTAGCGGATCTCGGATGTGAGGTCTTTTGGTGCCCAGCCTATCAGCTGGAATCTAGAAGTGTCTTCCACCTTACTGGAGCCTTCGGGAGACCAAAGACGCACCATGTGAACTTTGGGGGTTGTGTGCTTCGGGCATGAAGCCTAGTCTCAATCTAAAGTGAGGATGCTTCGTTTCGAGTACTGTCAAAAACTGTGTGGTCTCTACCAGTCTACATTCTCAGCCGGCGGGCCGAGTGTCAACACGTGGTTGTGAGCCACGTCAGGGCCAAGAACTTGAAAGTCCGACCAGGAGGTTCGTGGCCGCCCGGCGTAGTTTCGTATCGTTGGAGGATTCGAGGGTTCCCACTTGCAGTGCTGGTCTTACATAGACGTGCGACTTACGAAGTTTAGTCCTTCCAGAACTGTCACTGTTATTTCAAGCATCTTTCAATTGTTCACCGAGAAAGGGTCGGTAAATTTGGAGACCTTGCTGTTTCTGAACAAGGGGCGGGCACTTCCGACAGGCGGGAAACACAAACGGGCTCGATTCAGAGGAAAACTGGAGACCGAGTACATTCCTTTCAACCGCCTGCTGAGTAGACCTTTCTTCTCCAACTCCGTGCTGCGCCGTGCGTGCCAGGTGATGTCGAGGGCGTCAATGCGCGCAAGCCTCGACATGCTGGTGCTGCCTTCATCGCATTGTTGGCAACATTATTTGGGAGTTTGTCCAATGTGAGATCAATGGCTGGGCTCGTGATGCACTACTTCCGTCAGGACGCTGGACTTGCGGACCTTTATTGAACCAAGACTCTCAGCAGGGCCCCGTGCAGCACAGCTGTGGACTGACGAGAGCAGTGCTCATGCAGAATCAGAAGCTATGCGGCAAAATCTGCAGCATAACATCATGCTCTTCAAAAAAATCCTGTGTATTTGTCGTGGACCCAGGCTCCGGATTCTCAAGCTAAGCGGAGATGAGTTCAGCAGCTCGACATGCGGAAGGATGGTCAGGTGTTCCGGGTCTCGGATCCAGCATTGGAGTCTTTAGGACTATGGGGTGCTGAGCGCTGGATGGACCATCGGTTGCCGGCGTCCTTTGTTGGTTCTCCGGGGACCGGCTCCCGACAAGGTTCTTACAACGTGCATGGGCTGCTCTCACACTCGCGATTGCCAGCACAACGCCTGAGCCTGAGATGTGAAGACGAGCCTGCTGTGCCCCATCTTTTTCATGTAGGTACTCGAGTATGCATGCATGATAGCGCAACAAACTCTAACGATCCAATCGGTGCGAAAATGATGGAATGAAGCGTTTCCGGCGCTATTGTTCACGGGTTCATGTGCACGGCTTTTGGATTTGGGTTGAGGGCTTAGTTTGTTGTTTCTGCTGGAGGGCGTTTCTTCTGCTCGAGAGGGTCAGGAGAGTTCTGATCCAAAACGGATTGGCTTCATTCGGCTTAGGTTGGCTTCTTCAGGGGGTTTGTTCAGGGCACGAGGTAGGGCTGGTTCAGGCTTTGGAGCCGCAGGTTTTTGTGTTAGGGAAGAAGACATCAGCAACTTGCTGTGAGACATGTAGCCCTTCAACACTCCAGCAATCTCCAGCAGCAGGAAAGTGTGTGAAGGGAATCACGTCTTTCAATGTTGAGCACCGAGCCAGACCTAGGCGTGGCTCACGCAGAGGCACGGCTTCTCAAACCTAGGTTTGCCTACGGCATGTGCCAGGTCGAGGTTTCTCAGGCGCAGCAACGGTTAGATTCTAGTGCTTCTTCGCAAGACTTTTTCTGGTCGCAGGCGGCTGCCATGTCTTGGCTGCTCGACAGCTGTGGAGTCCAGCTTGCAGAGTTGCACAGGCGAGCAGGGGATGGGGCAAGCAGAGGATGCAGGATACCGTGGACCACTTGATGCACTGTAGACTTTGGCCACAGGCGACACAAGAATCCACAATTCAACAAGGCTGAGGCTCTAGGACGTGTATCGATGCCTGATTGCATTTTGGGCCGCCCCATACCATACTGCGACACACTTCGATCGAATTTACACCATGCAGATTCTTTGGCATGATTGCTTTTCATGTTATTGTGAGCATTAAACCGAACACACTACCATGTCGGCTGCTAGTGCTATAGGGTATCCGTTGCCTCAGAACGTATGTAGCGTTGCCTCGTCTGCAAAATCGTGGCAAGAATTTGGCATCCTTCATCTCTGATGTCCTGTATGTTTTGCTTCTGAGATTGGTATCAGGTACCCGGAGCCCTGTCCCCAACTCCGCCACACTCCAAGCTTGTCGTGCACCAGACAGGCGCGAGCCTGTGCTGCAGAGAGATCGCTTTGGGGAGTTGGTCGGCGAATACCGGGCCGGGTCCTGAGCCGAGTGCCGAGCTCCCATTGGGCGCTTCGGGCTTTTGTTGTGTCTGAAGCCGTGAGCCTGACATAAGCCTTCGGCATATTGGAACATATTGGAACCTGGGAAGCATGCCGCAGCTGAACGTGAAGGCCCTTCGAACAACCTTGACTCCGCATCCCGGTAAGGCCAGATTGGCGAAGCTCTGGACCGGCTGCGTGGAGGCCGCCGCCGACGATCGGTTTATTGGCTCAAGACCCGAGCGCTGCCTCGTCCCTTCGCAGCTGCGCTGCAAATCATGCATCTTTGGGTCTTGACCTGCCCGCCGGGAGCTTCCATAGCAGAGCACGGACTCGTAGCGCGCCCGGGATATGCTCATAACGATTCTGGAATCTGTGCCCAGCCCTCTTCGGTGCGGATTCATCGAAGCTTAACAAGAATCGGCTGCGAAGGGAGATGTACTCTTGAACCAGCTCTGAGCACGCTGAATCAAACTGTGATCCGCTAAGGTTGTATTTTACCCTTGAATACAGACGGGCATTGTCTGCATGGGCTTGTTGGTTGTGGAGGCTGCGACGAGACGACTAGAGCTTGTGCAGCCGGAGTTGCCGCGGGGCAAGCTGCGTCGTCCTCAACAGCCGCAAAGAGACGAGAAGCGGAAGGAACGGAGTCATGGTATCTAAACAAATCGTGCGATAGCTGTCAGCATGCTATCAGCCGAACTGCTGCTGAGTTACCTGTCAATGCTAGGAATTTGCGGCTTCATGCTGTTCACGGTAAAGTCTTCCGAAACTCTGGGTTGCTCGTTCATACTGCAGGTCTTCGACTGATCTGACTCCTGCCCGCACAGACGAGGCCATCATTTGCATCGCGAGTGCTACACCCCCCCTTTATGGTTTCGACGGTGGTGCTAAGTACAGGCGTCACACCATCAGCCAAAGTTCCGACCACTGTCTGATCAAGTATTCAATCAACTGGCGCACAGTGTATGCAACGACGTATAGCAACGAGATGACCACTATGTATGGACCGACCATTTTTGTGGGGTTTGGCGGTTCTGCGGTGTGATGCCCTCCCCCATTTGGATGGGTTGGTGGGCGGGTGGGTTCGGGTTTGGGAGATACATGCTCTTGGGAATGTTTGCTCTTCGTTCGGCTTGCCCCTCTCGACATGTTCAACTGTTACGAGAATAGAAAGTTCATATTACTGTAAACCACCCAGTCCAGAGGCTGTTAGCACTGGGTCGCAATAACATCAATCAAGATCCGGAAACAGGAACAGATATGGGTAAGTGAAGCCAAGCGACCTGCTTGAGATGTCGCCGTGATGCCAAGATCCCACGAAGCCCAGTCCGAAAAGCGGTCAGTGTCGCACAGATTCTGCGCGCACCCGAAGAAGGAGGGCGTGGGTGGGGGTGCGTGTGGCATGTCATGGGCGGGGGGCGCGAGGCGCGGTGGGGACGTGGCAGCATCTGAATGCACACATGCATGCATCTATCTATCTATATACCTGCCGACCTGTCTACCTACTGGTACCTATCTTGTACCTATCTATGTATCTATCTGTCTATCTATCTGTCCAACTATCTGCCTTTCTATCCGTCTCTCTCTCTCTCTCTATCCATTTACCATCTATCTCTCTAACTCAGTTGGATGTGCACACAGATGTTCGATTCAATACCTTGACAGATCACAATCGAGCACGTCGGACTAATAGATGTGCTTACACAAATATGCCAATAGGCAATCGAGCACGGCTAAGCAAGTAGGTAGGTAAGTCTGCACTGCAAGCAGAATAGGACGAAATGAACGAACGAGTAGACAGAGCGAGAACTAGAGACAGGTAGGCGGGCGGGCGGACAGCCATGCAGGCTGTCCACGGAATAGGCCTGTGGAGCCAGCGTTTGAGCTGCCTGAAACTGTCTTCCAGGGGCCTTTGGCGCCCACACCTCGGCGAGCCAGCCGACGAAGAAGAGGCGATTGCGCAGAGTGATTGGGAATGGTGCAGACGAGAACAGACCCGTTCGATAGCGGTTGAGGGGGGCTTGCAGTCCTGGATTTAGGAAGACTATAAGGGGATGTAGTCCTGGATCTAGGAAGACTATGGGAGGCTAGTAGTTCTAGAATCAGGAAAACTATGAGGGGGGGGCCTTGTAGTCATGGATTGCGGAAGGCTATGGGGGGGGAGGGGGGCTTGTTGTCTTGGGGGGGTCTCATATGTCTCATTTGGGGGGGGTGTTGGAAAGGACGTTTTTATTTATTTCTTCCCGGCTTAAGAGAGCGGGAGGTTGCGGTCTAAAGAAGTGGGTGGTTGGGGGGGCGCAGTCCTGCATTTGCAGAGCTTCCAAATTGCGCAAGATTAGTTGTATTTTCTTCGTGTTTGACCCCCCCGAAGGGTTTTCGTGCTTTCTTCTTTGCGTGTCTTTGAGAAGACGTTTCCCGGCGATTAGTGGTACTTGTGGGGGTTTTCGGTTTTGGGTGAAGTATGATAGGGCAGGAGCTTGTAGTTTTGGGTTTGGGCGAAGTATGAGGGGGGTTTTGGGTGAAGTACGTAGTCCTCCAGTCACTCATGATGATAATGTTCTTTTCTTCGCTTTCAACCCCCCCGAAGCGTTTTCGTGTGGCTTTTGCCTTTGTGTGTGTTGAAGAAGACGCGGCTTGAGAGAGCGGGGAGGTTGCAGTCTAAAAGATGCAGGGCGGCCAAATCACTCATGATTCATTTTGGTGTCCTCGCAAATAACCTCCCTGAAGCGTTTTCGTGTGGCTTTCTCCTTTGTGTGTGTGTTGGGGCGGGTCTTACAGTCTTGGATTTAGGAAGACTATAGACGGGGGGCTGCTCGAAGTCCTGGATTTGGATGAAGTATGTAGCTTCGGTTTTTGGTGAAGTATGAAGGGGGGGACGTTTTTAATCATTTTTCGCGGCTTAACAAAGCGGGGAGATGGCAGTCTAGAAGAAGCGGTGGGGTTCTTCCCCAAGACTACAAGCCCCCGCCCCCCCCCGCCCTCCTCTTCCTGTATCCAGGACTACAAGCCCCCGCCCCCTCATAGTCTTCCAGAATCCAGGACTACCCCCCCCCCGCCCCATCGCCTGTGGGACCCCCCTCATACTTCTCGGATTTCTAGGATCATGAAGGGGGTCCCGGGATGTTGAACCGGACTCGACGAGAACGTCACATGCGGCCGAAGAGTCCTCGCACAAGACTGAAGCCGTCAAGTTTTACCTTGCTGCAGCAATGTGGAATCCTAGCACACTTGGCCCAATGTTTCACTGAAACGCCCGAGTCGATGGCGACGCGGCTTACCTTGGCTGGGACATGCAGACGAGAGAGCCAGTGAGACCGACAGGAGTCTTCAGAGCTCCGAAATGGTGCCTGGAGCCAAGAATTACTTGGCGCTCGATTTGCGATCCACCATGTTCTCGACGGTTTCATATCAGCGAGCAGTACCTCAGAGCTCCGATTAGTTTTCTAAGGCTACCATGCTTTTGGGCCTAAGGGTGCGCGCCTCTTCGAACGGAAACGACAAGCAGGGGATCCAGCAACTCTGATCCACAGCTGCAGTTTTTCAACGGAACGGTTCTGCACTCGATCGCTTCTTCTTGCTTCCTCACTCCAATTCAGGTCGGGCAGCAGTCCGCTTGTCTGCAGCTGCAGCGAGGTGGGGAGCATGACCGGAAGGTGGATACCACACAGACGTCGCAGCAGTTTGAGTCCTGGCTTTGGATAGAAATATTGCAGCGGGACCGGAGTCGGCAGGTGTGGTGAGGTTTGAGCCCCAGACTTCCAGCTTCTCTCACATGTTTTGCGGCCTTTCGGGTGTCAAAAAGGCTTGGGAGATGAAGAGCTTGTCGTGAAACGGTAGAGGACTGGAAAGCTTCTGTCACCTTGCAGTTCTGCCGGATTGGCCGATCTCCCCGGTAGACCTCCGACACTTGCAATCCTCGATGTGGTTGTTCGGGACCATCGAGGCCTGCCCTGCATGGCTGCACGCACTGGCCGCCACTGCATTGGCGAGAGCCCTTGCAGGGTTCAGAAAATTTCGGGTGCACAGCAACAACAGGCCATTGGCACATTTCAGAATCGAGCATGCGGCTGCTTGCTTACAGTGGGGCAGCTTGCTGTTCACAGGAGTGAGTCCTTCATCTCATCTGTTGATAGGCTTCTCCCTCCGAGAAGCAGAGGGTGGAGCGAGGATTTGTGCGCTTCTTGCTATGTTGTTCCGAAGTTCGCAACTCTTCCGATTTGTCCCAACATGTCCAACCTTCCACTGCGGTCGTTGCATTTGGCTCAAGCACCAAGATGGTGCGATAGCCACACCCCTTCCTTAAACCTCCTAGGTTTGGGGTGTGTGGAACATGGGGCTAAGGCTAGATTTTTTTACTTGCCATGGGAGGTTAGCGGCCTTACAGCAGAGAGGCCCTGGTGAGTCAATCAGCAAGTCGAGATTCTTGAAGCATCTCAGGGTCACATGCTCCTCGAGTGACATCTACTCGCTATGTATATATATATATATGTATACGTTTATATGTTGTATATATAAAAATGCATGTAGATACGCATCTTACATCCTCGAAATCCTCGACTTAGAGCCCAAGCATGAGCCCCTGAAGCTGCAACCAAGGCCTTGCCTCAACCCTCGGCTTAGCACCAACTCCTTCTGGTAGTGAAAGCACCTTACATTTGCACGTCCGCGAAGACCCTCGTCGGGGCCTTAGACGAGACATTGGCTCTGGTCGCCTGCTGTCCACATCACCTGTGTAGACACCACACCTGAGGCGATCGTCATGGAGCGGCAGCGTGCGCCGATCCGGCCACCAAGCTGCAATGATGAATCGTTCCTGTTCTGAAACCGTCTTTGGATGCTGGCTTGCAGAGCACGTCGCAGCCGGCGACATTCGGCTGGGATTTTGACCTGGCAAATCTTTGCATCCCGTAAGTGTTGTGTGGATCGAACTCAGAGGCGTGCTCCAAGGCGCCATCTGCGCATGTGGGAGCATGACCTGTTGATACCTGTTGGTTATACACATGCCTGGGCAGTTAGTCACCGTACAGAGAACGAATTGGAGCAAAGCAGAGCAGCTCAGGGCAGAGGACTCAATGCCGTTGCTTATCGCTGGTCGCACTTCCCTGCGACTTGTGGCGCGGCTGGGTCTCTCCAATTTTCAGCTGCTGCAGGCGCTGTGTGAACTTTAGCATGGAGGGCTTGAGGCAGCTTAGGCAGCGCTGATATCGCAATGCCTCCCATCGCGTAGATATCATCCCACAATATTTGGATCTTGCTGCTAGCTTCTTTGGGTTCCGCCCAACCTGGAGCGAGAGGCGTGACATGAGAGTAACACGTTCACGAAGATATCAACATCGTCATAGCTTTGAATCACGATCTTGGCAGCCTTGCCCTTGTCGTACGACGCAGGGCCTCTTGGCTGTTGTATTTTTGCTCCACGCAGCCGACGGCGCCATGCTTCCGGGCATTTTCAAGGTGCCCTGGGAGTGAAGGTTGCAGGGCTGTCGCATCTGCGCGTTGAGATCGGCAAATTTGCTTGGCATGGATGCAGAACTCCGTGCGCATCCGTGTGTTCATGCAGATGCAAGGTGCTTGTGACTTTCCGTGCATCACATTTTACAGCAGACATATTGCAGCATTTCTACATTCATGCGTCCATCCGTACATACATACGCATGGACGTACGTATATATGTACATGTTGCTCATGTACGTTCATACATACTTCATACCTACATACTTACGTACCTACATACCTACACCTACAAACCTACACCTACATACCTACGCCTGTATACCTACATACCTACGAACATGCATGCATGGCATACATGCATACATACACACACATACACATAGACAAGCATACTTGCATACATGCAGACGTATTTACGAACATGCCGACGGTTGTATGTGCTTTCCAGACCCATGGCACACCCTTGTGAAAACGAATGCCCGCAAGCCCTTCTGCCGCGATGACTTGAGCACAGCTTGGCCAGGCGCTGGAGGAAGGTCTGACAGGAGCAACACCGGCTACCTGGCAAGAAGGTTTGGCTCGCGGCTTCAGGCTCAGGTTTTGTTTTACTTTGGTACGCATCCTTCCCCTTCAGGTTTTGCATGGGTTTGCCATGTGCTTCCTAATGTGTGTCAACCGCTTCATGGCAATGCCACAATTTCTCACCGCCTGAATTATGCGGATCAGACGCAGACAGTGTCTGTCTCAGGACCGTTGCTTCTCAACAGTGATCATTTTGGGAGCCTGTTCACGAAAAGAACACGTGGAAAAACCAGGATAAGTCACATGGCAGGCTTTAAATGCGAGGCCAACGCGCGGTTGGGTAGGCACTGCATTTCTGGTTTCAGCACGATGAACTTCGCAGTTACACAGCTACTGCTGCCCGCTCTGCCATGAAATCCTGCCCCTATGGTTCGCGTTGCGCATTGTCCTGATCTGTGGCCATTGTGGTGCTATGCCATGTCAAAGTCTTGACACCACAGGACCCACAGTGAAGTTCCCTCCAGAAAACGCTCCTTGCTGTCAAGTCTTCTTGGACCTGCTGCATATCATGTTGTTGTCAGGTGTCCTTGGGCGGCATCGTTTTCATTGAAGCTTTATGTCACAGCTTTGCTGTCCTCGCACCTTGGATCGGACGGCTGTGGATTTGTGGGTGTGCAGGCTCGACGAGTCTGCTAGGCTTGGCTTGCGAAGCGCATTTCACCTTGTTTATCAGGGCCAACCAGCCCTCGACGACTTTCTCAGTGACAAAACTTCATTGATGTCCACTCATAGTCCGATTTTGCCAGCGGTCCGTGACGGCTCTGCAAGCTGTGAGTGGGTCCGCTTTGATCTTCGTCGAGTCGCAGATTGATGGGAGATAGACTGTAGCCAATGTGGCAGCGCAGAGTGTTCCGACTGCAAGCGTCTGAGGTGTGGGGAGTCCTGGCGGACAGACACTGCAAGTTGACGCTTCTGATGTATGCGAGCCATGGCTCTCCGTGGCTTCTGAGGTGTTGGGAGTTCGACCGCTTAGATGGAGGGTTGTTGCTGTGAGGCAGCTGCTGGGATCGTGCTGCTCGGGATCTCTGGCACATGGCCAGGTTGTTTAGTGTTCAGCGTGTTCCTGTCCTTTCGAATCGTTTCCATGTGCAGAACCGATTGAGGGTTGGCACGTGGAGAGTGTGGAACATGGGAATCTGCAACCCGGAAAATGATTGAAGCCGCCGTTGTAGGAGGATGCATGAGCTGTTTTGGCATTTGCTTTTAAAGCGTGGAATTAGGCGCAAGGCAAGGCTGCAGGCTTGAATGCAGTGGGCATGACAGCGTAAAGAGACAGGGTTGAGTTGCGTCCATCTCACTGCCGAGCTAAGGACTTTGGTGGGCGTCCTAGCGACATACTTTCCAGATCTTGATCTTGATAGAAGCGGAGTCTGGCACGAGGATTTCTTGTTGCGACGCGGGTTCGTTCATGGGTCGTCAGTTTGCTGGTAGCGATTTGGAATTTCCTGGCAATCTTACAACTTTCTTCTTACCAGGGCGTTTACAAGCATGTTTGGCTAAGATAGATGCTGACAGATTCGTGACAGCTGCTACCAGAAACGCCATTTAATTGCTTTCTTCTTGTCGAGCCCCACCAGTCTCTCAGTATGCACCCGAGCAGTTCAACATGATTGAGATCTACAGCAGTGGTACTAGTTGCTGCAACTTTCACGGATTAGGCCACAAAGACATCTTGGCAAGGAAAATGGCAAATACTTGTGACAGGAACAGGATGTCAAGGCATTCAATAGATCGATGCCCCATCTGACGTCAGCTGAGCCCAAGAGAGTGGAGTGCCGTGCCGGACCAAGTCCTGGGGATTCGTCACAGCCGCGACCTCCTTCGTCGCAAGCGTCCGGGTGCTCTGCGCTGTTCGTGCTCTTGCAGGCCGGGGCCCGGGCGCATCCGGCGAGCATGAAAGGCGGCTCGTTCTGCTCCCTGAAAAAGGCATTACGGGAGCCGCGATCGGTCCATTGCGGGGGCTCCAAGAGCGACTTGCTCGTCCTGCGCGGCGAACACAAGTATCAATAGCGGTCTCGGCAGCGGATGGACCCTGGTCGGATGCAGCAACTTTGCAACCGATCCTTCCTTGCCCTCGGAACTGAGCTTGAACTCTCCTTCTCCAGAGATCTGCAGGACTACTACAAGAACAGGCTGATGAGCATACCGCACGTAGAAGCAAGTTAACAGTGCCTCTAGATCGGGTGAAGGCGTGGCTGGCCCATGGTGAATGAACGTGGCTGTGTGACAATGCCCATGATTAGTAACTTGTGGTGTCGCGCAACCTTTCCTGCATAAGCGAGAACTCGGGTGCATAGCGCTTGTGTTGGAGTATGTGTTGTCTGCGGCAGATCAGCTTGCAATCGTTTCGTGGATTGCAGCAGTGGTGAGCAGCAAGCGGTCGCATGGACTTGACGGCTTCGGTTTCCAAAGATGCAGTTGAAGTATTGTCTCTTCAGGGGCTGTTGCAGACCCGATTGCGGACTCAGACAAATTTGGCGCTGTACACAAACATGATTCGAACCAAGTTCCATTCTGTGAAGCCGTGCTACAATTCGCTGGCGTGGATTTTCGGTTTGAGGCGTTTGAGGACATAGGCTTTCTGAGGTTTGAGGTTGAAAGTTGAAAGAGCTTCTTTCGGATGCCCATTTCGTGAAACTGATTATGCTCTTCGACCTTCAGAGATTGCTGAGGTCACAGGGTCTCATTGGCGCCGTCTGCCCACCATTGGACCGAGGCTCTCACATGTCCAGGAAGCTTTTAGGAACGTTGCGGTGCCTTCTAGGGAAAGTGTGATATCGAAGCATGCCGCCAGTGAGCAGCCAAAGTCGGACCTTCCGGCATTGAACACAGAAGGTAGTGTGGCACTGTCACGCCTGAATTGTCACCGGAAATACTTGCCGTAGCAAACCGACGAGCTTGAAACTTTGCTGCCAGTTCTTTTCTAAACCGACTGCCGACCATGCTCTCTAATCCCTTCATCGTTGGGGGTACGTTTCTTTCTCGTTACTGCTGTTGGTCTTTCGCTGTGTCGCAGACATGCGGTCGATAGCGAGTCACTGGCCGCTTCATGGAAGCACCGACATTGACATCGTCTGAGCGTCATCAGGCCTAGGCGGCCTCGGCTCGTCGACGTAGTCCTGTGGTGCTAGTCAAAGAGCTGTAGGCCTTTAGCTTTGTTTGCAGCCATGGCAAGCAGTTTCCCTGAAGTGTTCTCTTGAAGGAAAGCTGGGAACATGGTTTCTCACAGAGCGGAAAAGCTCAGCGGTTCACGGCAGTCTCTGAGTCCTCGCTGCTCGAGGCCGGGCGTTCGGCTGGCTCATCGCCTGCGGTCAGAGCGGCTTCATGCTCGGCGTCCGGGGCCCCAACAGGGGAGGGGCGTTGGCTCAGGCGACCAGAGGACAGGTGTGAGGTGCGGCCTCGCCACGGCCGAGGTGCTGCTGGCTGGAGCGACGAGCCACCTGAAGGTGCCGTGCCGGAGTGTAGCGAAGTGAGGATTCTTGGAGTCGGAGGTGGAAGCCCAGTTTCCGGGGCAGAGGGTCAACAATGTCAACACTTGCTGCCACACGTCCGGCTGTTGCCCCAAAGGCGATCCACGGCTGGCGGGGCACCTTCCTCCTCTTTGGACTGCTCACGTGCTCTGACAGCCAAAGGATCCGACCTTGCTAGAAGACACAGTCTGACGGAGCAGCCGAAGCCATGGACCCGCTTCGAGAAGCGCACTTGAAGAGAGTAGGGCCAGGGTTTCATCACATGCTCGTCCTGTCCTCCGGATCCACGCAAGGCTCTTGTTGACGTGGATTCTGTCGATGGCCAGACTGGAGGTGGCGCCAGCGCCCCAGACCTCTGCCGTCGCAGCTCGTACAGTACCCGAATCCGACAGGAGGATGTAGTGACTACAGTAGCGGGGCTTTCGGGCCAGAGTTGAGACGCGATCCCTTTTTCCGGAGAATAGCTTGACGATGAAAATGGCCCAGCCATGATGTTGGATGGAGAATCAGAAGGGCCTTCAGAAATGTTCAGTAAGTCAGTAGACTAGCGGAGTTGCGGAAGCGGAAGAAGAGTGCTTTGCCTGCAAGGCGCGGCCTCTTCCAAGAGTCTCGGACCTGGGCCCAGCTCAGTGCGGCCAAGAAGCAGGTGCTCGGTCTCGGTGCCTTTTTGCGGTAATTTTGAGTTCCAGGCTTTACTGGCTTCATTGCTCTTCTTTGAACTCAGCTGCTTCGAGCACAAGCGGGCAGAAATCTAAGCAGCAGTGCTGATCTCCAGAATCTGGAGACACACTCAATAGCACTATCTTTCGGGTAGACGTGGTCGCAGACATGTTAAGGCATGTTGGGCTCGGTCTTTGAACAGGCTGTGCATGTAAGTTGTTCTGCTGTTTTGATCGTCTTTGGTGCTTTGCCTGTCTTCTGTGGTGGAGTTGAGTTTGTTTGCGGCTCCAACTTCCAGCAGTTGGTGGTTCAACTTAAGCCCGCGTTCCTTCCGCAATAGCCAAGTCAATTTCAACTCATTCTCGTGTCCTGACTCGTGTATAGCCTGCGGTGGTGCCCGTTAGCGAGTCTGAGAGTCCACATGCAGAAGAAAGCAGGATTATCAAACACACGGATCAAGAACACGGCGCACGAAAGTCAAGCCTGCAACCCGACAGAATGCCAAGTGTTGAACCCCAACATGTGACCGTGACGGATCTGCGCTGGCAAGGGAACTCCTTCCGGACTGCCCCTGCACGACATATGGAAGGCCGGACCAGAGTGAGCTCGCCTTGGGATCGGGGGTCTGAAAGACAACAAAGCCAACATCATGCTAACATTCAGACTTGTGACTGTGTGTTGTGGGGGTGTGGCGGAATATAAACGTGGGTGTGGATGGAAATGTGTGGTGTTGGGTTTGGGTGAGTACTCGGGGCTGCGGGTGCACTGCAGGTGCAGGAGAGCAATGTATAGGCACAGGCAGTGAAATCACGAAACTGGCTTCTCACGAGCTCGCCACAGGACTTCCTGTTCATGCTCCGGCGATCCTCCTTTTGGGTCCTGTCCCTTGGACTTGATGGGCCGTTTGCATAAGTCTTGATCACTTCTGCTCTACAGACATCCAGGATCCTGCAGGGCGCTTTTGCCAGCACGACCGTCAAGGTTCGCCTGGTGTGTGCCACGTTATTTGCGCAGTGCTTCCAGGTCTCAAGATAACCGAAGTCTCACCAACTGCCCGTCATGTTACGGTATTTCCAGCATGTCTGACTTGTGCAGTGAGAAAGGCGTTGTCAAGATGCCAGGCCATGCAGTACCAGATCATGTGGTACCAGCTGCTTGATGAGACATAACATGCACAAGCTTGGCTCTGTTTCTTTATTCTCGGGAGCCAGAGGATGACGACGACCATGTTGCAGGTGCTCCCTCAAGTATCAAAGGTTTCTGAAGCCAGAAGCTTGCCGGCCAAGGTATCTGGGCTTTAGCGACCTTGTGGCGTCCAGTATAGCATGTGCTGCCGCTTGGTCAGTTGACAGTTTAAGGATGTTTCAGGTGTTTCAGCAGATCATGTCTTGAGTCTTCGGAACATAATGCAAGTGCGGTAAAACATCAGCAGCCCTAATGCATGCAGGATCCCTGGTATTTGTTTACATACTTCCCTGCAGGTCGACGTTGAATTAGGACTCAGGCTGTGTTGCTCAAAGCTTTGAGGCTCCCTTCGGCAGCATTTTCGGGTCGATTGCGGCCGGCTTTATCTCCGACTGGATGGCCAAGCACTACCCAAGGCGCCTTCGGGCTGTGGTCAGTGAGCAGCTGAAGTGTCGACATCACGAAACTTAGGGCTTAGGGTGATAGCTTGGATGTGATCTGCTCGGGTAGCTAGCTTGAAGCAAAGGCACATATGTGGTTCCGGGTGGGCTGGCTGGCAGAAAACTGATGCACCCACGTAGAGTCTCGGTATTCCACGGTTGGATACATGTCGTGTTTTCATTTGACCCGTTCAAAAGCAGAAGCCAGTGCGAGGCACGGCCGCATCACATATGGCCAGCTGATGGACTTAGTGAAAACGATCGTCCTTCTCTACACGTTTGCTGCTTGGGGGCAGAAGTGTCATAGGCAAGGCGTGCCGGCAAGTTTCAGCCACGGCCAGCTTGTATAAGACTCCCGTATGTGCTCGCTTTGTCGTGCCAGTGAGCAGGGTCCCACCAGCCGCACCTCACCCTATGTGTCACGTCCGAGCGACAATCCGAAGCGGAGGTTCTCAGCGACACTCCCAGGCCACAGCGTTGCAACACATACGCTTAAGAGCAGGATCACATGTTCGGGTCCTTGAGAGAGTTTTCCGCAGTCAGAGAGCGAGAGAGAGACCTGACCTTTCCCTCATGCCTGGAAGAGAGGAGTTAAGGGTTTGGGGGTGAGCACCGGACGATCTCCGCCAGCCGTACAGATCGCGGGGAATAAACTACCGTGTCAGTGACCCCAATGCCCCCAAGCTCCACAAACAAGGAAGGCATGGCTGGGCCTCGGCCCGGGAGCGAGCGAGAGAGAGAGAGAGCGAGGAAAAGCTTTAGAGAGGGCGCAGAGACGAGGCCAGGACGCTGGCTAAAGTTCGGAGATGTTCACAACCGTACACTCCCGCACAGTGCCTACCGTGGGGATGAAGATCATCCTCTTAAACACTCCCCCAAAGCGCTTTCTCTTTCCAGCCAGCCTGGGCACGGCACGTCCGGCTCGCTCGGGCCTTGACCCAACGGAACGAAGAAAGAGAGAGACACAGAGAGAGGCAAACTCCACAGCTCACACAAACCTTTGTCTTTGTTTCCCGACCTCTGACCCCACAAGCCTTCTCTACCACCACCGCGTGGGGGAGAGGGGGGCCTAAGGCCCGGGTCCGCCTGGCGGACTCAACCCTCGAAGCCGAAGCCGAAGCCGAAGAGCGATTATTGGCTTGTTGGTATGCCGCTGGATCTGCTTCTTACCCTGAGCTGCATCTACTTCATGCCTTCACCCGTGTGTCTGTTTCACTCCGGCAATGAGGCATTTGAGCTAGACAAGTGACTATGGAATTCCGTTCATTCCTCCTATGATACTGTGCATGTTCATAATAGTTGCGCGTTGACTTTGATATACGTCCCAAGCCATGTGTCTGTCGCCTTACATAGCGGTTCGTGCAGTGTGCACCTCGGAGTACTTGCCGCAAGTAAATAGCTGTAGTGGGAGCCTGAGGGGTAAAGTAGCTCGAAGTTCGCGTCATGACGGGCCGGAGGATCAGGAGCGAAAGGCCGAAGCGAAGCGAGAACAGACGCACCGGTCAACTTACATGCAGAAGAACGTCCGTCCAAAACGTAAAGGCTAGTTCCTCTCGTCCGTGAGATTTGAAACTCTGCTTTGCATCCGTTCTTGCCGAAGTGAGAGTCAGAGTGGTGCCGTGCAGGCCGGATACTCCAAACATCTTCATCACGAGGAGGGGAGCAGGGGAGCAGGGATTGACATGGCCTCGGTGCCAGACGGAGTAGCTCCGCAGGACCGTCTTGAGTTTCTTTTTCGGCTTTTTCTCGATCATGGCATACTCAGCAGTCGCGGCCTCATTTGCTTTCCTCTCTGCACGATGCGGCTTTGTGTGTTGCTTGTAAGGTCGTCAAACCGCTGTTCGCCGAAATCGTCCCGGCTCAGATGATCGCGCAGGTGCATTCCACTTTCTGAATCCGTTGGTTCTCGCCTGCGTTTGACTTTCTCTGCAATTCAATCATAGCCTGAGATCGATGCGACAGCAGACTCATGGCTGTGCTGCTAATCCTGAAACGTGCAGATTCGATCTTTGACTTCAGCGGCAGGATCAGTAGTCTGGATGAAGCAGCGTACGGTGGAATGCTTCTCCTTTGCATTCGGAATCTGCAGGTCATCGCTCTGGCCGCAGCGATCGACGGCGGGTTCGCATCGATAGCACCTGACCTGCAGTGTTTTGGGCTCCGGTTGGAGCCGCTCCACTCACGACAAACGCGAGGATAGAGGCGTGTAGGACAACGCGAGATAAACTTAGAAGGATATTGAGCACGATGTCTCCAGTTACTAACGTCAAGTTGATTGCTACTTCCTACTCACGGCTGCTACAAGAGCGGTTGGGGCGGCGCAGAGGAGCAGAGCAGGTCCAGTCCGTGGCAGACTTGAGTCCTTGTAAGACAGCATTGGGGAGGCACGAGGATCAGCTGGATATGACCACCCGTCGTGTTCAACTGTTGTGGGCATGACACGGTGAGTGTTACTGGCGATTGTGTCATGTGCTGCAGGCAAGCACTCCTGTCGTGGGATTTATCACGCAGCACTTTTTTCACTACAAGAGGTGCGCGGGCCAGACTGATTTCAGTGCCGAACTGCATACCGGAGCAAACCCCTCGAGGCTAACCACTAAGCATGTGTCGAGTGCGATCTGCAGCCCCACTACGTCTCATGTTCGTGCATCGTTCCAGACATCCCACACAAAGTGGCATGCCCCAAACATCCCCAAACTGCAGCCCACCACAGATTACAATGCCCTGCCAGCAATACGCTGCCCATCAAAGACATGCCGGCAGATTTGCGGCGAGGCAATGCCCAGGCAACTTGAGCTGCAGTGTGCTTGCCGTGTTCTCCGAGACTTCGAACTCATGCTTCGGGATTTGACCGGGTGCGCAACATCGTAGCACTTAAGCAGTGCAGTCGCTACATGCTTATGGAAGCCTTAATGGCCTCAGCGAATACAACTTAGGTGCTCAGATGAAACCCTACATTGACATACGATCCTGTTGAGTCGAAAAGCCGATGGCGGGACGATCTTTGCAGAGTGTTGCGCAGACACACGGGAGCACTCACTTTCGCGACAAATGTCCTGCATCATTCGACCACTCGGTTGCGAAATCCTCCATCGGAGTGTGTAGCCTATTAGAGGTTCGGACTTCATTAAGATTGTGCCTCTTCAAATGATGTGGATGACCGACTGATCAAGTCTCAATCATTCAGGCCGAGAGAAGGTGCACGAGTCTGTTGAACGTTGAGGTTTACTAGTCATTGTATTTTATTGGGACAGGCACAGTTCTTCCTGCACCTTGCCAGCTTTCCCTCCCACCTTTCGCACACTGTTCGTTTGCCCCTCTCCGACTTGACTCAGCTTCCCATTGGCGCCACTTGCCAGCAATGCTCCAAAGCTTGGGGAGTCAATCCTGTTTTTGCGTGAAACAGGGCCAGGCAATCCTTTCCATCCACTTCAATGAACGATAATTGCAGGGACAGTGGAACATGGAAGGGTCGCAGGATTTTTTTGTCTCGCGGGGCAGTGAAGATGCCGAGGGGGCAAGAGTTGACCCGAACTCCAGTACAAGCACCTTTCTGACACAGCTCGGCCTTCTGGCTGAGACTGAATGTTTTGCAACTGTAATCTGGGCCGCATGAAAGTATCAGGACCGAAAGACAGGCAAGTCCGCACACTTGGGAGTCGGACTCCGGGGTTCTAGGCCCGTGTGCCAACCGGTACGTTTCGCAACGCCCATGTGTGTCAGCTCCGGATCTGCTATGACCGTGAAACTCCGCTCATCTGTGTGTGATCGAAAGCTTTACCATGCACCTACTCCACTTCGCTCCCGACGAGGCACTTGGCCAGTCGATCGCCTGGGTCACGCTGACGGGCTCAGTTGTGGCACTTGTCATCTTCAGCCTCCCGGCGAGGAAGACTGAACTCTTGGCTTGGAGTTGGAAGTTTGGAGTGCCTCCGTGCTTTCGTGTTTTCGGAAGGATTGCTGGAGCGTCTTTCAGCGCAAATAAGAGTGAGCCTTGAGAACAGCGCTGCAGGTTTTTTGCACTTCACCTATCCGAAGGCTCGATCACACATCTGCGAGTGCAGAGAGAGTTCGGGCAACTGGTAGGCTAGCGGAAGACTGCCGGCCATTGCCGGCCTAAGGAAAATTTGTAGTTTGTACGGTTTCGCCGGACCTCAGCTGGGATGCAATTAACTTCAAAGCACTCCACAGCTTCGCTTGCAAGCACGAGCAGGAGGACTAGAAGTAGTAGTCGTCGTACAGTAGCGGTCGTGGTAGTGGATGGTAGTGGTAGTGGTTGTGGTAGTGGTAGCGGTAGTATTGTTATATGATAGTTGTGACTATTAACATCATTAGGTATTGTGAATGCCGACGACGGCGACGAAGACGACGACTACGACGACCATCTGGACTGGGTCTGGTCCTTGCTTGGACAGAGCGATGTGTGTACAAGCATCCGTCTGGAACAGTTCCTCAGTAGAACACGTTAGTCTCTTGCTCACGCATCAGAGCTGCCTTTGAGATACCCTCTTGAACACTCTAGTTGGAAACTAGCATCGCCGGCTTTAACGTAATCAAAACTGCATTGACATGGGCAGGACCTTCGCGTCTCTAGACGGGTCGAAGCAGACTCTTTGCCGGCTGTGGAGGCCTCTGATATTTCTGGCCAAAGTCTCGCAATCATATTTACCGTCGAATCGATGCTTCTGTTCTTTGTGGACCGAGTGATTGAGTGTTTGTTCTTGTTGTTTCCAGTAAGGCCTGGGTTGGCTGGTGCCAGCCCTGAGATGGTTATGTGATGTTTGCCAGGACGGCGATTCATCCTCTGACGCAGTGGATGAGGAGGCAGTTGCCACAGCTGAACACCTGAAGCCAGGGGAATTGAAGCTGTGACTCGCAGCCCGCAGCCCTCCATCCCGGAAGCCGAGCCGCTTTGCAGGGAGGCCTTGCGAGCCAGACTTCACAGCCAGGGAAGATGGTGAAGAAGGCCTGGAAGGATCGTCGTAGAGCTCACACCGCTGCCCAAGTCCCCTCGGCGCTCCCATCTTGCAGGGATTTGCAGGACTGAAATGTAAAGCCTGGAATGCTCAATGCTCGAAGAGCCCTAGAGCCCTTGCCGAGGTCTCCTTCGACCTCGGAGCGCAAAGACGGAGTTCGTGTGCCCGTGACCGCAGGAAGCTGTTGCCTGAAGAAGAGTTCATGGACATTAAGCGGGGGAAGATGTTGGGAGCTGTATGGCACGTCTGATACTTAGGCATGCGACAAAAGCCACGAGCTCCCCATAGCGCCCTTTGACTATTTGTGGTTCACGGCAGCTGTCAGCGGGTCTTCCCGGACTGCTGTTTCCTCCAAGCACAGGCATCGAATTTAGCCCAGTGCAACCGAACAGGTAACACCTGTCCCAGGTGCCGGCTGACACGTCTCGTTCCGCAGCTGCTGATCCTGGTGCTCAGCGCTTCTCCACCCAGGGCCCGATTGAAGCACGAGATCGCGCTTTGAGACTACACAGGCCGTTGTGCCCTGCTCTCAAGAAAAGCGGAGAAAGTTGTGCTGACGCATGGAATCTGAAGACCACTCCGGGTTGCAGTGAAGTATGTGCCGATACCAAGGGTGAGATCCGCTGACAAAAGCGTAATTTCTGGACTCTGCTTATCGTGGCCTTCCTTTGGGACAAGCTGTTGTCGGATAACGTAGAAGGCATATGGTCATATAGTATACAGACAGTCAGATTCCATCGCTCGAAGTTTGAAGCTGACAGGCATCGTCGCAGCCCAGCATGAAAAAATCCCGCACTGGAGAAGTAGGATGTCTGCCTGGCCCCAGCTGATGCGCCAGCACCCCTGAAACACTGCCTCGGTTCCACAAAGCACGGAAGTCCGAACGAAACACGCCCCTTTTTCCTGTCCGTCGGTGCGCACATATATCTTTTGGGTTACTAGCCATTGTGGGCATCAAGCTCTCTGCTTTAGGCTGTTTGGTACCCGTGCCTTCTAGATTAAGCAATAGCGGACTGCAATCTGGACTTGGTGCCGTTGCCCGTCCCGATCGCGCTGATGGCATATCAGATCCGTTTCTTGTTGCCTGCCCTTCCGACACATATGCTTGATACCAAAGTCATCTCATCATCGAAGAATCATCATCATCATCATCATCATCATCATCATCCTCTTCATTCTCATCATCATCGTGATCCTCGGCATCCTCGTCATCCTTGTCATCTTCATCATCAACATCAACATCAGCATCAGCATCAGCATAATCATCATCGTCTTCATCAGCATCTTTATCTTGTTCATCGATATCATCGGGTTTCATTTCAGCAGGAGTTTCTGTCTGTGTTTGTATGCATGTCCAGAACGACACATGCATACGTAGGTAGATACCCACCTACCTACATAAATACATACATACATACATACATATATATATATATATATATATATATATATTACATTACATTACGTCACATTCCATTGCACCACAACACAGTGTACTGCAATACAGCGCAGTGCATTACACTACATTACGTATTTATATCACATACATACGCACATTCATACATACACGCGAACCTACACAGACAGACAGACAGACAGACAGACAGACAGACAGACAGACAGACAGACAGACAGACAGACAGACAGACAGACAGACAGACAGACAGACAGACAGACAGACAGACAGACAGACAGACAGACAGACAGACAGACAGACAGACAGACAGACAGACAGACAGACAGACAGACAGACAGACAGACAGACAGACAGACAGACAGACAGACAGACAGACAGACAGACAGACAGACAGACAGAGACAGAGAGAGACAGACAGACAGACAGACAGACAGACAGAGACAGAGAGAGACAGACAGACAGACAGAGACAGACAGACAGACAGACAGACAGACCGACCGACCGACCGACAGACCGACAGACCGACAGGCCGACAGGCCGACAGACCGACAGACCGACAGGCCGACAGGCCGACAGGCCGACTGGCCGACTGGTCGACTGGCGGACTGGCCGACTGTCCGACTGGCCGACCGACAGACAGACAGACAGGCAGAGAGACCTTCAACCTGTTGGTACTTGGGGAAGGGAACCCGGCCACACTCCCCCTGAAGAACAGGGGCAGGCAGTCCGTCCAAGCCCATCCTTTCCAAATAATGGATGGGGCAGCGCACCCGCTCGGGACGGGAGGACTGCTCCCGCCCCAAGCCCCGAGCAAAGCAAACAGAGAGACACAGAGACATAGAGACAGAGAGGCCGAGAGACCGCGAGACGGAGAGACGACCCCAAGACCAGTCATCGGACCAGTAGCTCCAGTCATCTTCGGACCAAGACCAGTCACCAGACCAATCATCAAGAGAACCAATCCAATCCTGACTCAATCCGAGTTCATCATCCCATGTCCTTTCATCATCATATCGTTCCCGTTCATTGAACTATTCTTCTTGGTTTCCTTCCTGTTGTCCTTCTTCCGCAGTCAAAGCTGACATTCGTCCTTTTCCTTTACCTTTAGGGCATTCCTTACTCCAGTGGTTTGGATCACCACATAGAAAACATCCTTTTCCTTTTCCTTTACTCATTCCTTTTCCTTTCTTTCCTTTGTATCCTTTGCTCTTTCCCTTGCCTTTTCCTTTGTACACTGACATTCAATCTCAGGTGCTGCTGCACTGGACCAGTCGTCTTCTGCATGATCTTTGTAATCCACAGGTCATTGTCAAGCGGCATTCCAGGCGCCTTCTCATGTGTGTTCTTCAGTATGATGAAATCACTCAGGTCACTCTCCAAGTGATCACTCGCACTCGAAAGGCAATGATCTCATTCAAGAGATTCGTAGCACGGGCTCGGTTCGGGAGTGAAAACTGGCTGTACAATCTACGCCAGATCTCGAAGCCATTCTCCGTGTCTTCATTCCTAACAATCGCTTTCGCAGCTCCATCAGTGATCTGCGCCAACATGTATGCCAGTTGCTTAGAAACAGTGACATTTGGTTATTCTGGGTGGTAGTTTGCTGAACATCATAAGTTTCACACAATCCATCAGTCACCACCTTCGAGGCATTCAGCTCAATCTCGTCCATCAGTGACTTCGCCAGGGGTTTGTACAGTCCTACGTACCTCTTCATTTGCCACGACCAGTCATCCCATTTCTCCAGCTCTCCATGATACTGTGGAGGTGGAAACAGTTTCAGTTCGCCACCAATTTTTCTCTGGCCGAAATCCATTCTTTCTCACTTCTTCCCTTTCTCAGGAACCGAAGCTCCGCTACCATGCAAAATTCCACTATACAATCCAAACAGCTATAACCAACCAAGATCAATCACTTTCCCTATCACAGCTCACTCCTGATACCTTTGTGCAACCAAGCAGTCGTCCAGTCTTGAGCCAATGTCATGCGGCATTGTTGCATTCACTAAATGCATCTTGAACATAGTAGGGTCGTTGGGCTCGTGCCAGTTAACAGAGAGAGAGAGAGAGAGAGACAGAGAGAGAGAGAGAGAGAGAGAGCGAGGGAGGGAGGGAGGGAGGGGGAGGGAGGGAGAGAGAGAGGGAGAGAAAAACCCCTACACCCTAGCCCTGGCGAAAGAAAGAAAGAAAAGAAAGACGGAGGGAGGGACGGACGGACGGACGGACAGGCAGAGTGTATACATATACGTATATATGTATGTATGTATGTATGTATGTATGTATGTATCTATTTGCACATTCGTACATTGAAACGTGCATGCATATATGCATGCATACATGTATGCATATATAGATGCAAACATACATGCATACACACGTGCACACTTTCCCGACAGACATCTGCGTACATATATGCAGACCTGCATGATGCCTACACGCACACACCACATGAGAAACAAACACACCAAAACATCCACACATCACTTGCAAGCAGCTAATGCGTATGGATGTATCTTGGGAAGGTCAGCTGCTCAGCTGATTGGAGGCTAGTAGTCCGAAGGCCCGAATGGCTGCACCTGCTGCCAAAAGCAACAAGCATGCTTTCCCCAAGTCAAGTGGCAGTCTTTGTTCTTGCTCCAAGGGTGAGAAGCCGTGGCCGCAGCCCGGCTCTACGCTGGAGCGGCGTTTGGCTGGCTTTGCAGCTTGCCAGATCAGTGGCCGTCCACATCAGAAGCTTTCGTGCTTGTTGGCACTGATTCCTTGCCGTCGAGCCTTCTGATAACAAGCTTCCCAACAAAACCTGGCCGGCGCCCGTGAGCCTCCTCAGACCCAGCCCTGACCAATCCCGAGGCGCCTCCGCAACGAGCAGCGTTCGGAGCTCCCGCAGAGGAAAAAGTTTTCACAGCTTGATGTTCTTAGGCTGTTTGTTCCAAGGCTGTTCCTTCAGTAGGGCTTGTTTCGTTGCTGGGTCTCGGCCTCGGAAATCCTCGTTGCACATCGCATTTACGGATCCAAGCCAAGAAGTCAACACCCAAAAGGGTGTGCTGGCCCAGCCAAGCCCGCAGCCACAACAGTCTAAACAACCCAGCAAAGCTAGCCATAAAGGCCACGAGTCTCCGAGCCGGTAACTTTGATCGGAAGAAGAGGAGCCTAATCATCGCAAACCGTTGCACTCAGCTCACTGTGCAAGTTTCACAGCATGGTTGTGAGCTGCCGCCGCGCGGGTGAGAATGTGCAATGTATATAAACAAGGAGCGCATCAGGCAGGGCCAGACGTTATCAAGCATGCGAATGAGCGCTTTCAGTGTTGTCTTCCGAGTACGGTAGCTTTTCTTACTCTCCCACTTGTGGCTGGTTGCTCAGCTTCCCACACGTGCATTACGCAGGTTGTTGAACGCAAGCCATCGGGAGCACTCGTGCCTCATCACTTTCCACGTCTACTGACCCCCCGTGGCGGTTAGCGTTTATACAGCCTAGAGCTTCAGGCTTGGGTAGCTTTGGGGCTTCGGGTTTAGGGCTTTGGGCTTTGGAGATAGGTTTGTTCCGGAACACCCCCACCTTTAAGCAGTCTTGGCAAGCATTCTTGGGCAACGGAAAAAGGGCCATTCCAAAGGAGTTCAACTCTCCAGACAATTAATGGAAGGGTTACTGTAGTCGACTGATCGAACCAACCTGAAGTTACCCGCCGTGCATCTTCTAAAGTTCCCAAGCTCCAGAATGGTGTCCTGGCCCTTAAAGAGCTCAGACCCTGGCAGGTGCGGAAGCTTCACATCAGGATCGTGGTCGAAGAGTAGCGAAGGGCTTCGGGGCTCTGTTGGAATTGAGGGAAGGCTTTGGCGTTCCGGGTTCGGACAGTACGTTGCGCCAGGCAAGCAGTACCAGTAGCTTGGAAGACAAGCCACCGAGATCTAGTTGCGGCTGGAGTTTCGTCTGTTGAGAATTAAGTTTGAGTCTTCTAGAAAAGCCTCGGGTTCATGGCGAAGCGTAACTCCTGGAAAAGCCT